AGAACTTACACCGCAACGGAAAAAAATAGACTCAAAAGAGGTAAAGAGTTAATTTGCTTGGCCGAAAGTGGTGAACTGCCGAATTCGGGTTACTCCAATGAGGAAACATTCGTTGTCCAGCAGTTTGTAAACAAACAAAATGATCGTGTTTACTTGCCAAAGAGGTCAGCTGAAAATGTGCACCTTCGGTTGGCCTGCAGAACTCAAGCGCCGGCCATGGTGATTTTGGGGGCTGCCCTAACAGCCGATGGTCGCTCTCTGCTCGTATTAATCTACCGTGGCATCAGAATAGATGCCGAAAATTATCTCGAAAGTACTCTAGAGGGTCTATTAAAGCCTTGGGCACGCAAACATTTTGGCCGCAGACCTTGGACATTCCAACAGGACTCAACACCATCGCACTCAGCACGCGCCATCCAATAATGGTTACAAAATGAGGATCCTCGCTTCATTTCCAGCGCACAATGGCCACCGGATACCAATACCAATCCATTGGACTATTGTGTCTGGAGTATTTTGAAAAACAAGGTTGGCACTAAAAAATACCAAAGTGTCGATCACCTCAAGCAAACGCTTTGCCGGGAATGGGCCAAAATATCGCAGAGCAACATTCGGGCAGCGTGTGTCGATTTCGTTGGCCGTTTGAAGGCCATAATTCGTGCAAAAGGTAACCAATTCGAACAAATCTAAACCTATTCTAAAATTTGATGCTATATCCGACATTTTTTGCTTTCATTTACTAAAATTTAAAAAAAATATGTACAACTTATGGCGTTTGCAGTTTTTTATCTAACTCTGTTTCATCCGATTTGATATTTAAGTCCCTCACATTCTTAATATGTACTCCACAAGAATGATATTTGGCACCAGATGTCATCAAGAACGGTTAAGATTTGGCTATAGCTCCCATATATATCCTTAATCCGATTTCAAGTTGATTGTGCAAATAATGCCTATTATCATCTTAAGTGGAGTGAATTTCAGGACATACGTTTCCATTTGGTGGAACTCGGTTCCGATATAAATGTTTTAATATAATCATTCTCTAAGTGATATCATGCACTCTATAACAATGTTATTTGGTATAAATGAAAAAAGGATTCCGTCAAATTTAGTGAAAATCGAATCAGAATTGCAAATGCCTCCCATATATTACTCCATCTCTGAAATCAAATTATAACTGCTCTAAAATAAATTATTTTGTTACGGCAGCTCTACTAAATATATAGGGTATCATAGTGGTGTAGGGTATCATATAGTCGGCTCAGCCCGACTTTTGACTTTTCCTTACTGGTTCTTTTTAATTTGGAAATTGGGTCGTATAACTTTCTGAGCTCCCATAAATATGCACTGTATTAGATATTTCCCAAATATTTGACCAAATTTTCCAACTGAATTTCAGCAACATTTTCGAATCAAATTGGCTTCAACTGACAGTTCATAATTAGGTAAAAAAAAGTTTCGTATACCAAAATGGTCCTAAAAATTTCACTATTTAAGAAAGCCCACATAACCTGTACCTTCAAACATAAAACATCTTTTATCATTTTTTATTTAAAATATATCAGATGACATTGCGAGGCTGCAGTTGTTGCCACATGGGAACATTCGAAAAACATCGTAAAACCTTGGTTATTTTACAGCACCCAATATTTCGAATAGTTTATACAAAGTAGTCACTTACAAGCAGCATCTCAACTACTTTCAATTTTATTTAACTTTTATGATAGGCTGACAGTAGTTTTCACCTGAAGTGCCATTGCAAGCATTTGATAGGCAGCACAGGCGATAAAAAGAAGTCAACAACAAATCGCAAGTTGATAAGAACTTTAAATAAATACCCATAAACTAACAAAATGCAGTGATCTTTGACAAATTGCACACCATCTCTGTTGTTTGTTCTTCTTTAACTACCCTAGCCTACCTACCGAGCTATCATCATTCATCACAATGCACACAGAGCGCAATAAACACACAAACATTGTTACTTACTTAAACATTGGCTAAATATGAATACCACCTCAGGTACACAGACCTCATGCAGTTGTTGTTGTATTTCACTGCATTACTTTGAAATGAGTTGTCGTAGCTCACTCAACCCCTGATGTTAATACGGTTCTGTTGATTTCAGTGTCAAAAATTTTGGCTAAATTTTACTTTCGCATCAAAATAATTCTCATTTAGTTAATTTTTCGTTGCATAGTTAACATCAGACCATCGACTTTAAAAATCACTCTGGCTTCTCTTCAGTTGTCGAATAAATCTTTCGCCTTTTACTAAAGATTTCCGTGGAGAGGAGCACTCTAATGAGTCTAAAATAATTTTTCTTTAGGCCTTCCCTTACGGGGAGGGCCATAAATAATCAATTTAATTATTGGAAGATAATAAACGATTTACAAATTTTTAAAGATCAGAAAAAAATGTACATCATCATAAACAAATGTAATTTATTTCAATGATTTATTATCGTTTCCCATTCGCCGCACGCTTGTTACTCAAAAATTGATTAAACTTTTGTTTGTAAATAAACGCGAAGTAGTAAAGGTAAACAAATAGCTTTGGCGTAACATTCGCGCCCAACCTATCCTATTTGTAGTTTCTTTTAAATTATAAACACACCTTTGGAAATATTCTTGTTATTTAGAAATATATTAACTCAGGAATGCTCCTAAAATATGTTTTTCTTGCTTCTAGACGAATACGAGTGGGGTTATAGAAGTTCGGAGAAATATGTATGTATGTACGTAAATTTTTTTTATAGAGATATTAGAAAAAAAATATAATTTGCTTAAATTAGTTTATAAAAATAAAATGTTGCAAAATAAAATAGAAAGATAAATACCATGGTCTAGATGAGGGCGGGCAGGAAGCCAATCTGACAACTAATTTTGCTGTCAAAGGACAAAATTGTGATTTAAAATTTAAAGAGAGGCGAATCACAATAGCATAAAAACTACTTAGTTTATTGCCAAAAGTAGTCTTCTTGTCCGACTTTATATTGGCCATGATATATACCCGGAAGCTAGAATCTTTAAATTTTGCCTTATCACATGCCAATGCTGAGCCTCGAGTTGGAAATTCGTACTAAAAGGGTACGAAAAGTACTAAAAATTGAATAGTTTGTATTGGACAAACGGATTGAGCTGGAGCATTTGGAATGAGAGTCACTGACGGAGTGCAGGAGAGATGTATTAAAAGGTTTTTGGAGATTCGTACTTTAAGGTTACGAAAAATTCAAAAATAGTACTAAACTTCTATAATGGTACTATTTGGTACTATGTGAAAGGATAGAGCTAAAAACTTGAAATTTAATATTTATTTAGAATCAAGGTTGGAAAGTAAGTTTGATATATAACGTTGGTTTTGGAAATATATTTTAAGTGTGTGAACTGTACTAAATGGTACTAAATTTCGAACAATTTGGTTTAGGATGAACGGATGAAGCTGGAATTTTAAATTTTTTTATTCGAGACCCTGTTGGTGGTAGACTTGTAATAAAGGTTTGTTTTTGGAAATGTGTACTACAATTGTACGAAAAGTGCCAAATAGTACGATATTTGGTACAATTTGGTATTGGGTGAACATATAGTGCTTGTAATGTGAAATTTGGTATTAGGGTCGCTGTTCGTATATAGCATGAGTAGCCTGGATATATGGAGGTGGTTTCGAAAATGTGTAAATTGTACGAAATGGTACTAAATTTGATATGAGATGAAGGGAAATTGTGAAACTTGATATTTAGATTACAGGCGGTGTATGTATTTGACATTTGGCGGTGCTTTGAAAATGCGTCCTATATTTGTACGAAAATTACTAAAAAGTACTAAATTTGGTATTGGATGAAGGGATAGGGTTGGAATCCTCATATTTGATGTTGAGCTGAGTTGATTTCTGGAATTGAGATATGGAGGTGGTGCTAAAGTACTAAATTTGGTTTTGGGTGAAGGAATAGAACTGAAATTTGATACAGAGGTCACTGCTGGTCTCTGCGGTAAAGATATGAAGGTGGTTTTGAAAATGCGTACCATAATTGCTCGAAAAGTACTAGCAGTATTGGGTGAAGGGATAGAGCTGAAATCCTGAAATTTAATATAGATGTCGCTGTTTGTCTCTGTGATTAAGATTTGTAGGTGGTTTTGGAAATGTGTACTATAATTGTTCGAAAAGTACTAAGAGGTACTAAATTGTGTACTGGGTGAAAGGATAGTACTGCAATTCCGAAATTTGATATTAATTCATGAAATGAATCCACAAATGTTCCAAATGTTCTTACGGAAATCAAGATTTAAATCAGGAAGTCATTGGAGTGGCTTAGAAATGACAGCAGCCTGAAGTTGGTTGCAGTTTTTTTCATCTCACCCTGTAATCTCTGAATCCATGGTTTTTAGTCAATGGGTCGTTACGATTTTTGGTCAGCATTTTTTCAGAAAAAAAAACTAATCTCTGAATCCATGGTTTTTAGTAAATACGTCGTTACGATTTTTTATCAGCATTTCGTTGAAAAATTTCTTTCCACTTTTTTTTAAATAAACAAAAAAAGCTTTAGTAGGTCGTTGAAAATCAAAAATTTTACCTCGAGGGAATTTTCGAATTTGTCGAATTTTATTTATGAATCCTCAAAAAACAAGATTAAGTCAGGACGTCGCTAATTTCTGGTCAGTGACAATATTCCTAAAGAGGAGGTTCTTAAGTAGGAGGCTCCTAATAACCACTTTTTATCAGAAGTTCTTAAAAAATATATATGATTGGTCAGAAGGTCGTTGATAAATATTTCCTACGTTGTGCGTCGAAAAAAAATTAATGCGGAGGAAAAACACTAAATTCATTTGTTTTTATTTTATTTAAAAAACTTTCCAACCTGCCCTCATACTTGCCTATGCAAATACAACAATACCGTTGTACGCCAATATTTATCCATGCAATTATAAGACAATTATAATTTTGTTTACACGGCTTCTTGCTAAACTATGCACCCCTTTCTTTCCTACTTTTATTCTTAGCACTGTGGAAAGCTGCAGCGCCTGCTACTGGCGGTATTTTTCTTTTATGGCATGGCAATTACAAGTGGTCGGAGAATGGAAGAGGAAAACTTCGGAGGTGGTGGTGGTGGTGGACAACAAGAAATCCCAATGGTTTTGCCCAATATCAATGTCGTAGATGGTAGCAGCAATAACAACAATGGCGGCCTGACCACGACAACAGAAGCTGCCAACTCAACATATACTGTAAACAATGTGGAAACAACACCAGACTATTGTTTTACCATGGAAGAGAATATGTGCCTTAACTTTTTCAGCAACAATCAAACGGATAAACCCAATCAACAGGTCACCGCCAACACGTGTATGTGTCGACAATATCCGAATTCTTTGAATACATCGCAAAACAATTGGTATTGTTGCAATATTACTCACTTGACAATGATCTCAACGTGTCCGAACTATAATAATTGGACCAATCTGCATATTTACAATATGACAATGCCAGAAATTGATTTGTCATCGCCCATATTTCAAACGCTACAATCCTTGGCCATCACGGATGGTAATATAACGAATATTGTAAAGAAATTTTCGCGAATGTGCAAAGTGAAATGTTTGAATTTATCCAATAATAATTTGTCGAATGTCACAATGAAGGCATCGGTCATGTTGAAATTCCTCAATCTCTCGAACAATAATCTCACCGAGATACCGCAAATAACACCAAATCATAATATTACATTGGACATAAGGTTGGTGGTTCTTAGGTTTTTTTTCGTAGAACAAAAATGATATTAATTTTGCAAATCATCCCTTGTTTTAGACAAAACAAACGCATGCTGTGCAATAATTTGATGGCCACCATTTTTCGAGGATCCTTTAAATTTGTCTCGCCCAATAGTACATATTGCCTGTTGGATTCGGCCTTTAATTGGTTCAATTCAACGGATTACATAGCCATAAGTCAGTTGGATATAATCAGAAGATTCTATACAGATTGTCCTGTGATACCGGGTAAGGGTAATTGTACCTGTAATCCAGAGCACATGTTATCGGCGGTAAGTAATTTTTTAATTAGTTTTTTCTTTCAATTTTAATTTTTTTCTTCTTCAAGGGTGATCCATCCAAAAATAAAATATTCTGTCGTGTAGACTGTTCCAATTTGGGTCTTACAGAATTGCCGCCGAAATTGCCGGAAAATACATTTCAATTGAATATTACGAATAATAATGTAAGTATAAAGAAATGTGGGTATAAGGGGTCGAATATTAATTTCTTTTTTTATTATAGATAACCGTTATTGGTGACCATTTCCACAATAATCCCACCTATCAAAGCATTGTGAAATTATTTGCCGATAATAATCGTATTGAGTCCATGCATGACCTGGAAGGTACACAGTTTATGGATCATTTTCAAAAGTTATACCTTCGAAATAATCAGCTGAAAAGGGTAAGTCGGCGTAAAAAATGGTTGGTAAGGAGAAATATTATTTAAGTTCATATGAGGTACCCGAGGTCTACACAGCCAAGGACTATCAACTCAGTTCGGCTGCTATAACAATTTCTATACAATTTTTGAACTTTATTAAAAAAAGACTACTTGAAAGAGAGAACATAAGCAGTTAAAAAGATGCATTTAAAAACACCCCTAATAGGATGATGCCTATGATAGCTATCTCTGCGAATTCGGTTTATAAAAATGGATTTGGAAAAAAACCGATTAACAAATGCTTTCGTTTTGTAATGTAAAGTAAAATACCCCTTAATAGGTTGATGTCTATAATAACTATCTCTTCGTATTTGGGAAGAAAACGATTAACAAAGTTATATTATATTATATTTGGAGTGAAAAGTTCTTGTCATATTTGGTGCATATTGAAGTGATCACACTACAGTTAAGTTCTATCAGCCATAGACTGTTAGAAGATAATGTTCTAATTCGAAAATGGACAAATTTCTCAACTTCTTTGTTACTCCAAAGCATGAACGTCGAATAAAACTATCCTTGACTCCTGAAGCAGAGAGCTCTCGAAAGAGCTGGAATAAATGGAACTACTTTTTTATAAAATAGATTTGTTGGTGATATTTTATACTTCTAAAAATGCCAAATTCTAAGAGTCAAAGCACAAGAAGGACTCTAGGAAATTGCGATAATTATCATCCTTCCTCAAATATCACTGACTAGCAAGTGTCCAGTTCCAGCCCAGTCCAAATAATTGTAGTACACATTTGGAACAATTATAGTACACATTTCCAAAACCACCTCCATATTTTAACCACAGACATCAGCAGTAACATCTATTTTAAATTTCAGGATTTCAGCTTTATTCCATCACCCAATACCAAATTTAGTGTTTTTCGAACAATTGCAGTACACATTTCCAAACCGCTTCATTTTTTAATTACACAAGCCATCAGAGACCTCAATATCAAATTCGAGAATACCAGCCCTAGTCTTCACCTAATACCAAATTTAGTGCTTTTCGTGCACTTGTAGAACTCACTTCCAAAACCACCTCTTTATCAAAAACCAAGAACCAACAGGGTACAACACAAAATTTCTAGCTTCATTTTTACCATAAACGAAACTATTTCAAATTTAGTACCATTGAGTACAGGTGGTACACATTTCCATAACCATCTCCATATCTCAGTTCCAGATTCCAACAGTGACCTCAATATGAAATTTGAGCTCTAACCCTTCACTCAATATTGAATTTAATACCATTTAGTAGTTCTCGTACAAATATAGGATGCGTTTCCAAAAATAATCTAAATATTAAACTTCAGAATGTTATCTCTATCCCTTTACCAAATATAGTACCATTCAGTACTTTTCGTACAATTATAGTACACATTTCCGAAACAACCTCCATATGTCCAGGATACATATGAATAACGATCCTAATACTAAATTTCAGATTTCAAGCACTGTCTGTTCACCTAATACCAAATTGTACCAGGTATAGTACTATTTAGTACTTTTCGTGTACTTGCAGTACACGTTTCCAAAAACACCCCTTTATTATAAGCCTACCACCAACATGGTCCCTAATACAAAATTTCCAAATTTCAGCTCATCCGTTTACCCGAAATCAAACTGTCCCAAATTTAGTACCATTTAGTACAGTTTGCACACATAGTATACATTTCCAAAACCACCTCCATATCTCAATTCGGAGACCTCTATATCAATTTTGCGGACTGTAGTCCTATCCCACCACCCAATATCTAACATAGTACCATTTAGTACCTTTCGCAGAAATAAAGAACGCATTTCCAAATCACCGCCAAATCTCAAACACAGATACCATTCATAATCTAAATATCGAATTTCAGGTTCTTATCTCTATCCCTTTACCCAATACCAAATTTAATACTATTCAGTACTTTTCGTACTATTATAGTACAAATTTTCGAAAACCACCTCCATATATAAACCTAGCTTTCCAATCTTCGTTCGCATGCCGAATTTCGAGTTTTTAGCTCTATCCGTTCTCATTATACCAAGTGGTAACATTTTAGAACTTTTCGTAACAATAAAGTTCGAGTCTCTAAAAACCCTTTGTTATATCTATCCAAATTTCGGAATTCCTGCTCATTCCCTTTGTCCAATACAAAGTATTCAATTTGTAGTACATTTTAGTACTTTTCGTACCCTATAAGTGCGAATTTCCAAAAACAGTCTTATCACGCGCACAAGATTCTAAATTCAGTTTAGGATCTTGCTGGTCTTTGATTCTCAATCTATCAATTTTTTCACTAATCTTTAACATTTTATAATTAAAACTAAAACTTAAAAATCTTTTCTTAATTACAGCTCCCGGAGTATCTCCTAACAAATGTGTTGGACAGCAATGTTGGACGAGTCATCTTTTTGGGTGGCAACAAACTAATGTGTGATTGTAATTCGGCCAAAGTGTTAAAGGTAATTGGAAATATTCCACCATATTTTCTCCACAAACTTAACATTTGCATCATTTATTTTTTACAGCTATGGCTATTGAAAAGAAGTCGTGATATTCCCGATTACAATGAAATCTTATGCCGTAATATGCCACAACGTATTATGGAATTACAGGAATTAAAAGTGTGTCAATCGCCACACGATTGGACTGATTATGTTTACTATTTAATTGCCACCGAGGTTATTTTATTGGTGGCCTTGATAACGAAAGTTTCCTATGATTATTGGGTGTTCAAAACAGCTGGATATTTGCCATGGCCAGCGAGTAAAATGCCAAAATTACCGTGTGATTGGCTTTGTGAGTCATAATTTTAAATTATTTTTTAGGCTCTTTAAGATAAAAAAAATATATTTTTTAGAATTTATAAGCTTTAAATGTTAAACTAAGTGTAAAACATAAAATGAAAACAATGTGCCTAAATATTTTACATTTACATACATCCTTTTTTTTTTTGTAAACGACTACATACAAAACTCATCATATCAAGACAAGTGCAATTAAAATTGTTTAAGTTAATAAAAAAAAATATTTTATTTTATAAAAATAATAACACTAAATATACAACATTTGTTATACATTATTATTGGCTTAAGCTATAGTAAAATAAAGTGATTTTTTTAATTATTTACTATAAATAGTGATTTATTTGTTGGGTCTCGATTTTTTATTTTTCCCCGATTTTTGTTGGGGTTGATTTTTATGTTTATTGGCTGGCTTTTTGTTGTTTTGAAATTCAGTCTTGGAATTTTTCAATTTTTGTATTTTCTTCAATTTTTGATTATTTTTCTGTTTAGTTTCATCATCAACATTGGGAGATTTCTGTTTCTTTTTTAACGATTTCTCAACCTTTGTTAGTTTCTCCTGTCTTTCTTGCTCCGGTTTGATTTTGGTGGAAATATCTTCACGCTTGGGTGCAAAGTTGGCCAATTTCTTTTTATCCGACTTTTTGGGCTTTTTCATGTTCAACATAAATTCAGGAACTTTACCGCCAGAATTTCTTATGATTTCAGCAATGCTAGGAAAATAAAAATACGTTTAATCATTATTTTAGTCTTGAAAATATAACATGTTCTAACTCACCTCCGCAATGTTGGTGTATCATCTTGTGTAAAGAATGTTATGGCTTTACCAGGCCTTCCAGCACGACCCGTTCTACCAATACGATGAATGTAGGAAATGGTCGATGGTGGAAAATCGTAGTTAATCACCAAATTGACACCCTTAAAATCAATACCACGACCCATAAGTTCTGTACAAATTAATACCCAAATATGACCTTCACGGAATGCCCGCACACAATTGTCACGCTGTTGCTGCGTACGATCAGCATGTATTACATCGACATTGATGCCATCATACAGCAGCTCTTCGAAAAGTTGTTTTGCACGATCCTTACTTTGTACAAATACCAAAACAGGTGGCTTGAGACCGGTTCGCACTAAATCACGCATTGCAAAAAGTTTGCCACTTTCCGAGCCAACAAACAGTAATTCTTGTTCAACTGTCTCGGTGGCAGAATTTTGTGCACCCACAGTTACGCGGGCAAGATTCTTTAAATTCTTTAGAGCCCATTTGGCCACCGGCACCGTGTATGTTGCACTGAATAAGGCCAATTTCTTTTTGGGATTTGTACAGGCGGCAAGAATATCATCCAATTGTTCTTTGAAATTGTTTTGGCCCTCTTCCATCAATCGATCAGCTTCATCCAAAATAAACCATTCAATTGCCTTCAAATCCAGTAATGGTGGTTCTTGTTGCAATAGGAATCTTACACGATTTGGGGTTGAAATCAGGATATCATATTTTTTATCCAATTTTTGTTTAGCCTGATTCACTTTGCTGATAATGTGTATCTTTAGTGCTGTCTTCTCACAAACTCGAACACATTCCCGATAGATTTGTTGGGCCAATTCACGTGTGGGTGCCAAAATTATTGCTCGAAAGCCCACTTTCTTTGGAGCTTTCAAATCATTTATGATGGGTGCCAAAAATGCAATGGTTTTACCCGAACCAGTTGGAGCACAGGCCATCAGCGGCCGTCCTTGCAACATTATGGGTATGGCTTGCATTTGAATGGCTGTGGGCTGCGCATAGTTGCAATTCACCAAATTCTCTACTAATCTTTCATTCATTTTGTAGGTGGTGTGCAATTCTTGAAAAGACGTTATTGGAGGTGGGATATTTTTGCCCAGCACATTTATACGATTTTCCTTGCGTATTGTTGTGACCATTTCTTCTTCGAGTAGTTTTTGTTTCTCCTCTTCTGTTAGGGCCGGCTTGTTTTTCTTTTTAGACTTTTTCGGTGCGCTTGTAACACCGGAAAGGAATTCAAATGATTGTGGTTCTTCTTCGTCATCTTCTGCTTCGTTGCAGGAGTTTTCCATAGTTTCTTCATATTCCATTTGGTCATCATCTTCCTCTTCTTCCGTGGCAATACCTTCATCTTTTATCTTCAATTCTTCTTCATGTTTAGGAGACTTTTCGGGGAAATTTAACGAGGGATTCTGCAAGAAATTTAGTGGCAAAACATGTAATGAATCTTGACCATCCAATAATAGTGGCAATAGAACTTACCTTTGGATTTGATTCATTGCGTTTCTTAGTAAATCTTACTCCTCTCGTCAGCTGATGAAACAAATCGTGGGCATCCATTTTCCTTTAGATTTTTTAATATTTTTTTTTAAGTTTCTTTTTTTACTAATTTCACAAAACAACTTCTGTTGGGCCTCTGCACGTGCTAATCGATAAATCAAAGCGATAAATGATAAATCGAAATGGTTTGTTTTGCTCAGCTGTTGAATAGTGTAGGAAAACGTAATAAAGTTGAATAGAACAAGTTGTACCGGTAAATCGATAATTTTTCTTACTAAAATCGTGATATCGAAAAGGATTCCATTAGTTTGGTCCTTTATGGGGTAGTTTACATATTCGTGGCCAGGATTTGGTAGACATCATGGAGGAAAGTGCTTTATTGACAAACATAACCATGATTATCACCAAGGATATACTCATCGATGAGGCCAATAGCCAAAAGAAACCCAAACACTTCTTGTGGCATGGTGATCAAAGTAATGACGAGGATGATAAAATGAAATTTCCATTATTAGCACCTATGGATGACGAAGATGAAGAGTTTTTTGTAAAGCAACAATTCTTCTCAAGCAATACAACAAAAGAAAAGGAGGATACTGAAACCTCAAATCCCAGTACAAGTGGACACATACTAAGGAACAGATTAACGAGCGTTGGCAGAAAATCCAATAAATTCTATGATCCACAGCAGAGGAGGGATAGGGCAAGACATTCAGAAACCAAACCTACAAGCAAAAAGCCCAAGGAACTAAACTTGCTCAACAAATTTGAAAATGTTGAGTTTGAAGGATTCTTACACATGAGTAAAATGAGCTTTCTGGTAGGTATCCCATAACTATTAACATAAAATACCTATCTTCAATTGGTTCTACGTCTGATTTTCAGAAAACCTTCCAATTTATCAAACATTTGCTACAGCAATCCACCTTTCCTGCCGGCATACCAGCACAAACTGTATTCTCGCTGGCCCTTTGGAAACTAACCACCGATGAACATTTTGAAGAAATATCACGACGTTTTCATATTCCACAGCCAGACTGTGAGCTTATAGTCAGCCAGTTTTGGCACATCATTTCCGATAAATATGAGTCCTACATCAAATGGCCTAATTCTCATTTATTTCAACAATTGCAGTTGCAAGGCTTTCAAAAACACCCCCAGTTGAAAATATTTCCAAATCTCTTTGGTATATTGGCCCTCAAACGTTTGGATATATTTCTCGCCTCAGAAGATGCTGAAATATCCATTGTATTGCAAATAGTTTGTAATGTTGATCAAAAAGTTATTGACTGTTTTGTGGAATTGGAACAGGAGTATAGCTTTGATGAAACGCCCATGGGACAAATATTGGCCTTGAATGAAAACACAATGCCCAAAGGTTGTTATTTGCTGGGTAACAAAAGTTTCCCCTTGAAGCCGTATCTAATGAAACCCGTCACCAATCCATGTTTTCGTAAGGAACATGAATTTAATCGTCTGTTGGAACCAGCACTGCGTCTGGGTCAGGATACTTTGGATATTATGGCCAAGCGATTTAATGCCCTGTATGCATTGGAAGCTAGAGACTTGGCAGAGGTTCGAAAAATCCTAGAAACTGTGTGTGCTTTGCATAATTTAAGTGTGGCCATTGAAGATGATTATGTTGAGCGAAAACGTGAAGTTGTTAAATTCAATTGGGCCAGCGATACAAATATTAATGGCAGTTCTGTGGGCAGTGAACAAAATGTCCAGGGTTTGCAACGGAGGAATGATCTCATCGATAGGATTGTGAGCAATTGAGGAAGATGTTTTGAAAACAAATAGGGAACATTAAAAAATTAACTTAATAAGAATACTCAATACAAAAAATAAGTTAGAAATATTTTCTAACCTACAAGAATCTACTACTTTTGCATTTTTTCTCGATGTCATAAAGGAAAACATTTTTAGTCTTTGATTAATAAAATTAAAGTTACTAAATACTGTACACTAAATATTTTTGTATTATTCAAATACAATTAAAGAACCTTATTTTTAATCTTCTCCATGAAGAAAAAGAAGCATATTTTTGTTTCTTTTTTTTCAAACCCGCCACATTTAAAAGACTCACCTCAGAAAAACTCCTTTTTTTAAGTCTTTTGATTTCATGTATCACTGAAGAAAGCAACCCCTCTTTCTAAATTGACTTTGATATTTTAATGGACGTCACTGAATACTGTGACATTTTCTCTTATGACTATCTCTCATTCATGATAAAACATCCAAATTAATTTAAAAATCTTAGGACTCTTGGTGTATTTAAGTGTGGCCAGCCACCATAAATAAATTTTACAATAAAGTTCATTTCGTAGTCCATCTTTGGCTGAACTAGTTCCTTGTTCACCATTAAGTTCAATCGTTGATAACTAGAATGTGGCAAAACAAAACAAATCGATAACTTCTATCGATATTGCCACCGATTGTTTGTCACCTCTAGGCAAAACACAACAAATCAGAGAAAAAGCCAAAAGGAAAAATCTTTGATCTTCCATAAATGAATTAAAATTGATATAAAATCATTAAATATTCAAAGATATAATTAAAACAAAGCAAAAACTGCATTTAAACGATGGAAATGGAATACGATGAAAGTGGTTGGCAGCAAGGCAGGCCAAAGGGAGAAGATGAGGTGAGTGCTATTGGTTTGTTATGATTGCCACAAAAACAAAAACTATATTTTCCCTGTTTTAGGAAATGCCCGAAGATAATCCGCAGGAAACTATACAAGAATGTTTGGAAAAGTTTCTCACACCCGATTACATTATGGAACCGGGTATATTTACGCAGCTGAAAAGATATTTCCAGTCCGGTGGTTCTCCGGAGGAGGTAATTATGATGCTGTCGGAAAACTATAAAGCCGTGGCACAAATGGCCAATTTATTGGCGGAATGGCTTATTTTGGCCGGCGTTAAGGTAACCGATGTCCAGGCAATGGTGGAAAATCATTTGAAAGATATGATTTTGAAAACATTCGATCCCAAAAAGGCTGATACCATTTTCACCGAGGAGGGTGAAACTCCGGATTGGCTGACGGAAATGATAGATCATCCCACCTGGAGATCTCTAATATATCGTCTAGCCGAAGAATATCCAGATTGTTTGATGTTAAATTTTACCATTAAATTAATATCTGATGCTGGATTTCAAAGTGAAATTACCTCTATATCCACGGCGGCCCAACAGATTGAAGTGTTTTCAAGGGTTCTTAAAACTTCCATTACGAAATTTCTCAGCAACCCCGAAGACATACAGGGAGCCATACAGGAATGTGCACGCATGGTTTGTCATGGTCAGCACACCTATGTTTATTCACAGGTTTTGATACAAGTTCTGAGTCAGGAGACAAAGGGAGGTTTCAATATGAAACGTTTGTCCCAAGAAATCACTAAATATGCGTTACAGAAGTGAGTATAGAATCTTGTATTTAAAAGTATATACAGTAATTTTTGTTTGAATCTGTTTCTTGCAGCAATCAAAACGTAACACCCATTACAATGGCTCTAAATGGTTCAGCTGCCTATCCCCAAGCTTGTCAGGCATTGTCTTCCATGTTGTCGCGCAACACCCTGAATCCAGCAGACATAACTGTACTTTATCGCAATTATTCCGGAGCAGATCCGCCGCCAATTGACTTAATAAGAAATCCACAATTTCTGGAATTACTCGTGGATTCTCTTTTTAAGGCAGGAGTGAAAATCAATCCAGAACATAAATCCAAATATATATTCTTGTTGGCCTATGCCGCCTCAGTTGTGGATACACCGGCAAAGAAGAGACCCCTAACCGATAGAGTTCTTAATAAAGACGAACTGAAAAGTACAATACAAGCTATAGAAAAAGTTCATGCTATCTGCAATGTTAACAAGGGATCAACGGAACTAATAGCTGAACTGCAGACTCTATACAATTGCATTAAGTAAGTAAGATGATTGTGGAACACTTAATAGATGGGAGAAAAGGACAACCAGAAGTAGAGGCTAGAAATATTGTATTTCGCACCAAATGCTTTTGGAAAAATGTGTTTGGTCCTTAAATATATTCCACAGCGGTTTAAGGGTTGTCCCTTAGCCTTTGTAACATTCGATCCCGGGACAAACATTTCTTAAAATTACCATCAAATATGACTTGGAACACTTGTCTTCTATAGTATTCCTTACTCCTTAAAATCATTTAATTATAATAGGAATACATTTTTTACTGTTAAAAAATTCAAGGGATTGTTTCTAATCTTGTATTTTTTAACAATTAAAAATCCAAATTATTATTTCAAAATCATTTTCCTTACATTTCATCAAAACGTTCAACAGCCAGTCTCTCCACTTATTTTTCATGCTATTTATAAAATTTTATTTGTTTTTATCATTCCTGCTATTATTAATCTCCACTTTCTCTTCTATATCGTTTTCAGATTCCCCGTAGTAGGTGTTGGCGTCATACGCTGGATTGAAAACACTGTCACCGAACCGTCATACTTTAAACTTTCCACCGACAGTTGTCCCACACATCTGGCCATTCTAGATGAAGTGGCCGCTGTGCACCCAACGCTACATCAACAAATTCTCACGCTACTAATACGTCTATTCGAATCCAAACAAGATGAATTGGAAATTCTAGTACAACTGGAAATGAAGAAAATGTTACTTGATCGTATGGTAAATCTACTGACACGAGGATGTGTTGTACCTGTTGTCAAATACATTAAACAATGTTGGGGTAAAGGTGACACAGATATATCGTTGATACGATACTTTGTTACAGAAGTCTTGGAAACCATAACACATCCATATTCATCTGAATTTGTACAACTATTTCTGCCCATGGTGGAGAATGAAGAAATCACCGGCACCATGAGAGGTGAAGGTGACAATGATCCAGTTTCGGAATTTATAGGTAAATATTTGATATTATATATTAATTTTAAAATGTATTAATTGAAAATTTTTAATTCCTTTTCATTTCAGTACACTGCAAAGCTCATTATACCACTGTGTAAAAAATTGCATTAATTTTTCGTTTAGTTTTAATTTTTTTTTTGAAATAATATTTTTTTATATATACGCCTACAAATTTTATTCATTAGTATTTTGGAATATTTCCTCTATTGTATAAATGATAAAAATATATATTTTATTACTTTGTAATAAATGAAGAAAAAACATGAATATTCAATAAATGAATATAAAGTGGAAATAATATTTATTTTTATTAATTTGATATTATTAAAGCGATGATGGAGAAAATTGCGTTAGGCTATTACATTCACAATAACCTCCAAAACTCATCGTACAAGTAAATGGTATATTCTAGCATACATTTAGGCTGAGCGTTTAAAATAAAGAGACAAAGTGTCGATTACCTCAAGCAAGCGCTTCGCCGGGGAAAGACTGACTGAAAATCAATACCCAGACGAAACGGCTCAAACTTGAATCTTTAAATTTTCCACAAGGGTCCATCTTGGTGCGAAGGGGTGTGTTAAGGCTGGGTTTTTGAAAATTCGTACGTAAAAAATTCGAAAATTCGTACGTAAAAAGTACTAACCTTTACTAAACATTTAAAAATTTGTACAGGACAAACGGAATTAGCTGGAATTCTGAACTTTGGAATGAGAGTCACTGATGGAGTACAGGAGAGATCTTTTAGGTTACGAAAAGTTCTAAAATGGGGGCATTATGTGCACGATTAGATCTAAAAATATTGAAATTTGGTATGAGAAGATATAAGGTTGAAAATGTATTTTAAGTGACATAACCACAATTCCGTTTTGGTTGAACGAATTGATTTGGAAATTTAAAAACTTGGTATAGGGGTTTCTGCTAGTGCGTAAGGTTAAGATAAAGAGTAGGGTTTGGAAATAAATTCAACAAGCGGTTTGATACTAAATTTGGTATGGAAATACGTAAAATTAAATGCTAAATTTGGTAAGGTATTTAGTTGGAAGTCAAAAATTTGGCATTAAGATCACCTTTTGTGCGGTTTGGTTAAGACATGGCGTGGAATGAATTTGGTATTTGTGGAATGAATTGAGCTGGACACTTGAAATTTGGAGTGAGAGCCGTTTTGTTGTCAGGAAAGAAAAACTAAAAGGTTTTTCGAAATTCTAACAATGTGGGTAGGAAAACGGAAAAATCACTAAAATTGGTACCACTTGGAATTATGTTAACGGATAGTTGTAACATCTTGAAATTTGGATCAGAATCTAATTTAATAAAATGGAATTCATGTAAGGTGGCGGTTTTGGAAATATATACTAAGAACAAATATGTACTGAGAACTGTACTAAATGGTACGAAATTGTGAACAGTTTGGTTTAGGTTGAAGAAATTAAGCGGCGATTTTGAAATTTTATATTGGGGTCCCTATTGCGGTTGGTTTGTGACAAAGATATGGTTTTGGAGATGTGTACTATAAATGTACTAAATGTATTGGGTGTAGGGACAGGGCTGAAAATCTCAAATTTAATATTGAGGTCTCCGTTGGAGGTGGTTTTTTAAAATGTGTACTATAGTTGTACGAAAAATATTAACTGGTACTTAATTGGTTATTTGGTGAAGAGGTAGAGCTGGAATCTCGAAATTTGATATCGAGGTCTCTGCTTGTATCTGGGATTCAAATATGAGGTGGGTTTGGAAATTTGTACTATAACTATACGAAAGTGCTAAATAGTACTAAATTTGGTATTGTGTGAAGGAATAGAGCTTGAATCCCGAAATTTGATATGAATGTCAATGTTTGTATCTGAGATGAGATATGGGAAGGTGTACCATAATAGTACTAAAAAAGTACTAAATGGTACTAAATTTGGTAATGGGGGAAATTACAGAGCAGAAACCTTGAAATTTGATATGGATGTGGAGGTGGTTTTGGAAATGTGTACTATTGTTTATTAATATTTAATTAAAGCAGATATACACAACACTTAAATTGTGTAACCTTGGTATGTTTACAATTTCTTGTAATCTACCAAGAATATTTATTTTTGCTTTCTATTTATACATTTTTGAATTCATTAAAACTAGCATTTAAAGTTAACTAAGCAATAAATTACTTCAGCCAATAACCCATGCAATGTGAAACCAATCGAGGTGTTTCTTTATTTAGGCTATTGACCTGCATAAGGCAAACAATAATTATATAGGTCAGTTATATGCTGACATAGAATAAAATAATAATAAAAACAAAATTAAAAAATGTGTTAGTAAAATATGTTCTTTTGAACATTCTCCCCCACGTTGAACGAGGAACGTTCAAGAAACTGTCTGGTCAATGACGTATGATGATGAGACTGACTGCCGAGGGGTAGGTGTTGGGTTCATGTTATTGTTGGAAGTTCTGTGGTGGCGAAACTTGACAATGACGTATATGGCTACTCCAATTCCAATGCAAAGAGCTAGATAGCTGATGGTATGATGGTGAATGGCCGTCGATTTCATTAATTGTGGAAGGCGTCCGATTTCAATAGTTTTTAGCTGTTGGTGTAAGGTGACGAGTTCAGCAGCATGTGTTTCATAGGTGCTGTTTAATGTTTTGTTGAGCAAGACAAGCTTACTGCTTGAGATTATGGAATCCAGTGGCTTAAGTCTCAGATATGATGTGTGCACTGTTGTTTTGTTTTCGTAGTGACCGTATATTGTAAATGTGTTGTCTTTGAAAATGCAGCCTGGCCCAATTTCTAAAGTTCCAGCTCCTTGCACCTCCAGGTGTGTCATTTTTGTACCACAAACAAAGGACAATTCTGTTAAATTGGCTAGAGTAAACATCCATTTATTCTTTTGTTCCATTTGTCTCCAAGTTTGGTGGTGCATGGTTGATTGCAAGTCGCACGCTTCTGACGATTTGTTCAATAAGAAAATCACCTCGCATAAATGTGATCGATCGCCTTTGCTAAATTTCGCTTGGTTGTCGCAAATAAAAACGTCATTTGTGGTATGTATGCAGCTGTTCATGTCTTCTGCGGTTAGTGATATGAACTCATCCCGATGGACGTTAGCTGCCAATAATGTTGATTTCAAAGCTATTGAAATAAATCGACCGGATCGTAGCATAGGTACGGGGATCATTTTGAATAAATCATACTGCTGGAGATCCACTAATGGAAGGCGAATCTCGAATATGATATGGTTCTTAATAACCCTTCCCTTACTCTTCATTAATTTGAAGAAATCCGAAACATTATCTTCGCGAACGGGTAGAGCACGAGATGGAGGAATGTGAGCCTTGATGGTTTGGAGCTCTTGTAGCAATTGATGTGGCGTAAGTAGCAACGGACTTATCCGACCATGATGAGCATCCGTTAAAACGTCGATTAAGTTATCTTCTATATGTTTCAACCTTGATGAAAGTAGCATGAGCTGTGAAGTGAGAAACATAATTGATTGTGTTGTCTTTACAACATCTTCTTCTTTCTTCACCTTATTTGCCAAAAGGTTCATCTCCACTTGCATGTTGCCGAAGTTCCTTTGGCTCGTATCTTCGTCCTTTCTAATTATGTTGATTGTTGAATCAATAATAGATGTCTGATTTTTTAGAAGATCCAACAAATGTTGCTTGTCTTCATTTGCCTTCTCAATTGTCACAGTCATTTGCTCCGCATATTCCGAATCCAAGACACCAAATAACGAGTGTGCGAGGTTCCCGACTATGTTTAGAGCTCCTCTCCTGATGCGCCTGGGGAATATGTTCAGTGTATTTGATTCCAACTGCCTTTGTACTTGAATAAGATTTTCTGAAAGTATCTCACAGCTTCTGTTCTCAACTGCTATCTTACACAACTTCTGAAGGGTTCCTATCCCGGTAGAAAAGCCATCCATATCTGCCCAAAATGGGGAAAGATCATAATAAGTGATCAGTTTCCACTCTGCTGTTACTACTTTTGTGATTCCAATTCCTTCAAAATAGATGCCGGGCTTATTCTCAAACTTGTGTATGTTGAACGAATGACACAAGCATAGAGGTAAAAATAGTAAAGCCACAAGCATCATCGATACTAGCATGCTGCTTGACGTCTTCAATCGCTTTGGAGATGGCTCTTCACTCCTACTCTTGGTCTCTATAGGCGGAAGAGGTTCCTTTTCCTTTTTCCATAAAGGATCTAATCTGGTTATAGCTCTTTTAATTTCGCCGTTTTGTGTCTTTACGTCGACTACACGAACGGCTCCATCGTTGCCCTTATATGTTCGGGTTATTCTGCCTAGCGGCCACTGCATTACAGGCATGTTATCTTCCTTAATAATGACCAATTGACCAGGTTCCACGTTTGGAGATGGTGTACTCCATTTCCTTCTTTCTTGCAGAGTATTTAAGTACTCCGTGGACCAACGTTTCCAAAACTCATGCCTAATTTGAGATACGACCTTCCATCTGCTTGTCAATGATGTTGACGATTGGTTCGCTGATGGGTCAACCTGTGCCGTTAACGGTTCTCCCACAAGAAAATGACCAGGTGTTAATGCAGCTAGATCATTTGGATCGTCAGAAATAGGAGTCAACGGTCGGGAATTCAGGATTGCTTCTATTTCAATAACAACTGTTTCCAACTCTTCGTGGGTTAATGATGCACTATTAGTGGTGCGAAGCAACAGTTGCTTGGCTGACTTCACCGCGGCTTCCCATAAGCCACCAAAATGTGGTGCTCTTGGGGGAATAAACTGGAAATCGATCCCTTCTCTTGAGCACCTCTCCGCTATTATTTCTTTGCCTTTCTCCCCAAAGACAGCCTTATTGAATTCATCGAGCTGATTTTTAGCACCTACAAAGTTAGTCGCGTTGTCTGAATATAGGGTTTGACATTTTCCTCGCCGAGAGATAAATCTCTTCAATGCTCCAATGAATGCTTCCGTTGTTAGGTCTGTAACTACTTCCAAATGTACAGCCTTTGTTGCGAAGCAGACAAAGACAGCGATGTAAACCTTGTGTGGTCTCTTGCCTCGTATTTTGTAGTGGACCCATAACGGTCCGCAATAGTCAACGCCGGAGACAATAAACGGCCTTGCTGGTGTGACTCTGCTCGGTGGGAGATTTCCCATGATTTGGTTGTATAACTTTGGCTTCGCCCGGGTGCACCTTACGCAATTTTGCACAATGTTGCGAGCCATAGCCTTCCCCTTGATTATCCAATATTTTTGTCTTGATGTTGCCAGTAATAGTTGTGAGCCACAGTGGCTATTCTCTAAATGGATCATGCTAAGAGTGAGTTTCACAATTGGATCGTTGTATGGTAACAACATCGGGTGTTTTGTGTCGTATGCTAAGGTTGCCTCTTCCAACCTGCCACCGACTCTAAGTATTCCTCTGTCATCAAGAAACGGAGTTAAACTATGTATGGAGCTTGATTTGTCCAATGCTCCATGTTTCCTCAATTGCTGAATTTCTTTCGCAAAATCTGCCACCTGTACGGTCTTGACTATTAGTTGCATCGCCTGATTCAACTCCATAGGTGTCAATACATCTGTCGAACTTCCATGCTTGCGTCCCTTTATCCTTTCTGAAAATCGCAGGACATAACCGACAATACGTTGTAATCGTCTAAATGAACCCTTGTGGTTGATTCCATAGATCATATCCTGTAACCCACTCTGTGAGGCAATTGCTGATACTGTAGATTTTGTCTTGAATTCAAGATCGGATTGATTTTCTCTATTCTTTGAGAAGGGCCCCGGCCAGAGAGATTCATTTCCATGTAGATACGTGGGTCCATAAAACCACATCAGACATCCCGACAGACGATCTGGTTTCATACCTCTGGATATATAATCGGCAGGATTATCCTTCGTCCCCACATGTCGCCATTGAGTGTTTATCGATCTGCCTTGTATATTTTTTACTTTGTTGGCAACGAACGTCTTTAGAGCTGATGGTTCTGAATTGATCCAGTACAATGTAATCTCTGAGTCTGACCAATAAATAGTCCTTAGATCTTCGTAACCCAATTCGGCTTTGACCTTAGCAGTAAGTTTTGTTCCCAATTCAGCGGCACAAAGCTCTAACCGTGGCAGCGTGATCTCCTTTATTGGTGCTATTTTTGATTTTGAACAAAGAAGTCTGACTATATGCCTGCCGTCTGGCAGCATAGCTCGAAGATACACCACAGCACCATATGCCTTTTCTGACGCGTCCACGAAAGTATGTATCTCAATTTTTGTTGGTTTCTCTCCATCAAACATGTGTCTGGGTAGCCTGAAATCATTTAACATCTTCAGACCTTCTCGGAACGATAGCCAATATGCTGCCCTTTCTGCTGGCAGTTCCTCGTCCCAGCCAAGTTTATTCTTCCACAGTTGCTGAATAAAGATCTTAGCTGCTGACACCACAGGACCCGCAATTCCTAAGGGGTCAAACAATCTTGCCAAATCAGATGTGACCTTCCGCTTGGTGACCTTGGTGCATTCGTTCACATCACTCTTCAAACAAAATCGGTCTGCTTGAGGAATCCATGTTAATCCCAAAACCTTGGTTGATGATTTGTCAAAATTGAGATCTACTTCTCTATCTTCTGGAGGAATTCCATGCAGCAGTTTTAAGTGGTTAGCACACCATTTTCGTAGTCTAAATCCAGCTTCCAGTAGTAACATATTAACTTGTTTCTGCATCTCAATTGCCGTTGTTAAACTGTCAGACCCGCACATGCAATCGTCAACGTAAAAATTCTTTTGCAATACCATCGCCCCCAATGGATATCTTTGTATGTTCGTATCTGCTAGCCTTTTCAGACATCTTGTAGCAAGATATGGGGCACACGTCGTACCGTATGTTAACGTATTCAACATGTAATGTTCGAGTTCCTTGTCTGGAGTGTTTCTCCATACGATTAGTTGATATTTGCGATCTCTTTTGTCGACTAGCACTTGTCTGTACATCTTTTCAATGTCTGTTGTAAACACAAATCTCGGCAGTCTAAACCGCAACAGCATTCCAAACAGATCTCCTTGAACCCTGGGACCTGAATGCAAAATATCATTGAGTGACCATCCAGATGATGACTTGCAAGACGCATCGAACACAACCCTCAGTTTTGTTGTGCTGCTATTTGGGCGTAGGACACAATGATGCGGGATATAGTAATGATTACCACGCACCTCTCTTGATTGTATTTTCGTCATATGTCCCAGATCCTCATACTCCTTCATAAATTTAGCATACTGCTCGTGAAGACTTGCATCCTTAGATAAGCGACGTTCCAACGCAAAGAATCTTGATGCTGCAATATTCAAGGATTCAGAAATTTTCTCAGGGCCGTCTGCAAACGGTAATCGCACCACAAACCGACCATTCTCATTCACTGTTGTATTTTGGTTGAAGTGATTTTCACACTGTTCCTCTGCTATTGTCAACTTCTGGTCTTCACAAACATCGTCTTGTTCCCAGAACATCTTTAATAAATCTTCTAAAGCATGTTCATCTTCTCCGAAAACGGCGCATGTCACAGTTTCTGATTCAGCCTGAACTCTTCCACTAGCAATCCATCCTAGTTTTGAGTTCTTCAATATAGGAAGCTCTTTGGACATTCGAAGTTCTTGTGAGAGAATCAGGTTGAAGTAGAACTCTGCTCCAAGTAGTACGTCAATCCTGGTCGTTTGATAAAAATAGGGATCTGCTAGTTTTATGTTTTCTGGAATAGGCCATGATGTGATGTCGATCTCAGTGCTTGGTTGGGGTGGCACTATATTTGGTAACACAAAGGCTTCTAGGCGTGTTCTGAATTTGCTGGTGAGTGACTTAAGCTCCACGTTGACCCTGTGGTTTGCGGTTCTTGATCTACCTCCAACACCTTCGATACAGAGAGATGTTTGAATGGGTTCGATACCCAACCTCTGCACTAGTCGCTCTGACACCAGATTAATTTGTGAACCGGAATCCAGAATCGCCTTAAACTCATAGCTTCTTCCATTATTTGCCTTGATCGCAACACGTGCGGTTGCAAGAAGTACGTATGATTGGGATCTATTCGCCGATGCTACTGTTGGCGGCTGTTGAACCGACAAATCTGCTGACTTGTTCTCTACTTGTGGCCTCGTTGAAAAATGCAAAAGTGTATTGTGTTTTTGTTGACACTTCCTGCACTTCCCACTTGTACACGTTTTTGCCTGATGGTCATCCTTGAAGCAATTTAGACACATCTTGTGTCTAGCAACCCATTTCTGTCTTTCGGGCACTGTCATTGCCAAGAACTGTTTGCAGTAATATAGGGGGTGGTCACCTTTGCACATGTGACATCTACGGATCGTGGTGGAAGTAGTCGTTGCTGACGGTTTGCTCTTCTGAATCCCATTGACAGCTTCTAATGATTCGAAACGACTCCTCAAACATTTCATGAAATGATCCATCGTTTGGAGTTCTTTCGAATCTACAATCGACTGCTCATACAACACATGAGTAGTCTTGTCCATCCTCTTTGTTAGGATGTGGATTAAGAGTGGATCCCATTCCTTTGGCCTTACTCCAAGACCCTCCAATGCCAATAACGATTCATGAAGACTATCATGAAAGTCCTTCACTGATCTGCTATCGCCAGACATGTTGGGCAGGTTTAGCATTCTCTCAAGTATAGTTGACACTTGAGCTCTCTTGTTATTGTACCTGTCTTGGAGTGTCTTCCAGGCAATGTCGTAATTCGCCTCGGTCAACTCGAGGTGCCTTATGAGTTTCTCGGCTTCCCCAGTCACGTTGGCCTTGAGATACCACATTTTTTGCACTTGTGGCAAGGCTTGCTCGTTGATCATTTTCCCAAAAATGTCAGCAAACGTCTGCCACTTCGAATAATCCCCATTAAATTGAGGGATTGTAATTTTTGGCAGATTAACTTGATTTGCCAAGTTTCCGCCTGATCTCTGCTGAGACGACGAATGATCGACCTGTGTTAGCGTCGATATTTTTTCTTTGAACTTTAACGTCTCTTCCTCTAAGAGAACGTAGGCTGATGCATCGTACCCCACCAACGTTGGGTCATCAAAGTCCTCGAACATTTTGAAGTGGATATCTTCCACGTGTGTCCACAGTTTTTCAATTGCAGCCACTGTCTGACAGGGAGCAGCTTGGCCTGAATTGCCCCTTATTAATGTTTGTATGGACTGCATTAGAGCCCTCTGACGTCTCACTAATGCAGTCACGCTGCTGGTTGCAGTAAACTGGCCTGATTGTTTTTGCACCCCCTCCCTTGTTGCGGGAAGCGGTTTCTGAGGCATTTGTTCTTTGCCCCTTTTGATGTCTGCCTCGATGTTGTCGATTGCAGCTCTGTACTCTTCACCAATGACTTGGTATTCGTTATTGGTGATATGGAGATGTGACTCTGCCGCAGGATCTGCACGAATTTTGTTTTCATTGCGATCGATCTCTGCCCAGAGTGCTTCCATTTCCTTGAGCTTTTTGCTGTAGAACTCCACCGTTCTTCTTTCCAATGGAGCCTTTTTTACGTTCGCAATTGCCTTCCTCAACTCGGCAATTGCTGCTTGTTGTTGCTCGATTACTGTAGCTAGATCCATCCTGTATCCGCCTTACGGTGATTAGCTATCAGTTGATTCAGATTCTTGATGTAGGTACTGGCTTCTTCTCCAGATGTTTCTGGCTCTTAGATGGTGCTACTAGTTGTACGTAACTAGCTCCTTTCACAAATAAATATTTCAAATTCCTTACCACTGGTGGGGGGAAATTCGAAATTTATGAGTGAATCAAGTAATCCTTGTCAGGATCACGTCGGGGTCACCAAAAAATGTTTATTAATATTTAATTAAAGCAGATATACACAACACTTAAATTGTGTAACCTTGGTATGTTTACAATTTCTTGTAATCTACCAAGAATATTTATTTTTGCTTTCTATTTATACATTTTTGAATTCATTAAAACTAGCATTTAAAGTTAACTAAGCAATAAATTACTTCAGCCAATAACCCATGCAATGTGAAACCAATCGAGGTGTTTCTTTATTTAGGCTATTGACCTGCATAAGGCAAACAATAATTATATAGGTCAGTTATATGCTGACATAGAATAAAATAATAATAAAAACAAAATTAAAAAATGTGTTAGTAAAATATGTTCTTTTGAACAACTATAATTGTAAAAAAAATTCCAAATTGTACTACAGGGTGAGATAAAAAACACTGCAACAAAGTCAAACGCCATAATTTTTACATTTTTAAATTTAATTGAATGAAACCAAAAAATTTCGGAAATAGCATCAACTTTTAGAATAAGTTTAGATTTGTTCGAATTGGTCACCTTTGGCATGAATTATGGCCTTCAAAACGGCCAATGAAACCATCACACGCTGTCCGAATGTTGCTCTATGGTATTTTGGGGCATTCCCGGCGAAGCGTTTGCTTAAGGTGATCGCAACTTTGGTATTTTTTAGTGCCAACTAGCTTTCAAAAATACTCCAGACACAATAGTCCAACGGATTGGTATCCAGAGATTTTTGTGGCCATTGTGCGCTGGAAATGAAGCGAAGAACCTCATTTTGTAACCATTCTTGGGTGACGCGTGCTGAGTGTGATGGTGCTGTTGGAATGTCAAAGGTCTGTGGCTAAAATGTTTGCGTGCCCAAGGCTTTAATACACCCTCCAGAATATTTTCGCTATAACATTCGGCATTTATTCTGATGCCACGGTCGATTAATAAGAGCTGCAGTTATGGCGGGCCACACCATCAACATGGCCTGCGCTTGAGTTCTGGCGGCCAACCGATTTTCAGCTGCCCTCTTTGGCAAGTAAACACGATCATTTTGTTTGTTTGCGGTGTAAGTTCTTGCACTTTTTAGAACGTCAATGTCTTTACCCCGAGTTCATTTTTCAATATTTGCCGATATGTAAAGCTCACGAGCCATTTTTGGCCACTGCGACGCGGGTTTCGATCAAGTCGCTTCTTTACTTTTCGAACCATTTCTGCAGATATCGCTGTTTTCTTTCGTCCACTTCCTTGAAGTCGGGTTACGCCACCAGTATCACAGTAACGAGCGATGGTACGAGACACAAAAGATTTATTCCTAATTTAAATGCTGGAGTGCTCTGATGATAGCCACTTGTGGTTTTCCAGCCAAATATAAAGAAATCACACTATCACGCTTCAATAACATCACGAATAACTTTGTTTCTGGAAAATTCTCACCAAAGTGCTTTTGTACGCTTGTAAACAATATAATGAGCTGTCACTGGAATTATTTTAACAGCTGTCGGACGAGTGGATTAGAAATGACAGTAGTCTAAAGTTGGTTACAGTTTTTTCATCTTACCCTGTAAATGTGATATAAGTTGAAGAAGCACGAATCCTTTATAAGTTCTATCAGTGAAGAAATATTTTATGTATACTTGGGAGAAGGAAATGCATTCTTATCCTTCTGGTATCCTTACGAAAATATTTAATAAGGTCACTCACACTTGTTCGCTTACGTTTTCCCCAAATGATGACTAACTGATAATTGCTCATACAAAAACTCCTTCCCGTATAAACATATCATTACTTGTACCTAAATACACATGAAATAGTGTATTTCTTTTATTTATAGGGGCGTCGTGCAGAATTAGCATATCTCAATCTTAAAGCAGTAATTACCGAAATACTCATGTCCATGATAATGTATTTAACCCTATCCTTATCGTTAAACAGTGAGAATTTTTAAATACTCATACAATTCAATACTTTTTTTGAATGCATATCAAATAGAATGTGAACCCATCGACTGATTAGCGGCTATAGTCAGTATGAAAGTTAATACTGACCGTTGAAGATCGCCGATTAGTCCAAACAATGAAATAAATTTAACAAGAAGCGGAAAAAAGAAAATATTGGACACATTTCAAACAAATTTTAAATTAAAAATGGTGAGTTTGAGAAACATTAAATTAAAATATATAACATTTTCAATTGTTTACTTTGAATAGGGTTCGAGTAGCAGTAAAACGGCGGAAAATCTTCGCATTAAGGTGGGTGGTGATGTCGCGAATGGTGGCAAGAAATCTCCCCAGCTCAATTGTATTAAAACCACCAAATATACTTTGCTAACATTTTTGCCCATCAATTTTTACGAACAATTTCGGAGAGCGGTGTATTTTTATTTTTTGGTTGTGACGATCATATCGTTTTTCGTGAGTGAGTAAAGACTAGCTCATTTAAGCAAATATAACTGAAATTCAATATCTCTCTTTCTCGCTCTCTTCCAGATAGTACACTTTCACCCATGGTCTCTCTGATCCCCCTATTATTTGTTATGATTGTTACCGGCATTAAGGAGGCCCTTGAAGATTATCAACGTTATAAAAACGATAATTTGGTCAATTATTCAAAGGTAACAATTCTGCGCGATGGTCAGGAGGTCGAAATCGAATCGCGTTATGTATGCCCGGGAGATCTGGTGGTGGTGCGGTCCGATTGCGATGTACCCTGTGATGTTGTATTGTTGCATAGCAGCGATAAAAATGGCAAATGCTTTGTGACGACCGCCAATTTGGATGGTGAAACTAATTTGAAAACGCTAACAATTCCACGGGGACTTCCAAAGATTGGCGATTCTCATTTAGAGGATTTAAATAAATTGGGCACCATTGAATGTGAAAGTCCTCGAACGGATTTATATACGTTTAATGGAAAAATTGAAGTGCAGGACACTTCAATGATATTGCCACTGACAAGTGATAATCTTCTGTTGCGTGGTTCGAAGTTAAAAAATACCGAAATGGTAATCGGCTGTGCTGTTTATACGGGAATGTCAACAAAGCTGCAGTTGAATAGTCGTTACACAGGCAACAAATCTGCATCGAGTGAAATCTATATAAATAAGTTTTTGATATTTTTGGTGATTCTAATGATTGTGGCCTGCATTATCCTGTATATGTTGGGAAGGTAAGATGAAATTATATGGTATGAAATAATATTAATTTGATTACAACGATCAAATGTTGTTAATTTGGAGGAAAATAGACTTTAACTAATCAGGAATATATATATATATACATATGCTTGATAAAAATTATATTTTCAAGTCAGACAAGTGAGAACGTCGGTAAGTTCGACTGAACCATACTTTTTTTACCCTTCACCATAAACTGCTTGAATAATGATCATTATCGATGTTCTATTATAAGGCCTCTGATGATTATTTTGTAAGACGACCCACAGAAAACCTAAAAACTCAGTATTACAAATTAAAGCAGATCCGATTCGAATTTGAGTACGTAACCTCCAAAGTACCAAGAAAAAGGAGGCAAAGAACTATGAGAGCAATATCTAAAAATGGACAGATATATTCCATTTTCTACACCAAACATCCATATCTCCCAGAAATGGCGGTGCCTATTACGAACTCCAAATGCCTAGTTTGATATAAATCTATAGAAAAATTTACCAAAATCATCAAAGTACCAAAAATGGAGACGTACAGTTGAATGGGGGCCTTGCAAAGACGTAAACTTGCAAAGGCAAATTTTCTGCCATAGGAAGAAGGAAATTGAGTTAATTCTGGTGGAAATACCGAAGAATCAAACTTCAGGATTTCTGCTCTATTTTTTTTCGCAAAATACCAAAATTAGTACTATTTAGTACACACTTCAAAAACCAACTACATATCTCAATTCCAGATACCAACAGAGATTTCAATATCAAATTTGAGGATTCCAGCCTTACTCCTTTACCCTATACTAAATTTAGTACCAATCAGTTCTTGTCGAACAATAGTTCTTGTCGAACAAAGCACCTCCATATCTTAACCACAGGCACCAACATTGATATCTAAATCGAATATCAGAATTTCAATTTATTCCCTCACTCAATACCAAATTTAGTACTATTTAGTACTTTTCGTACAATTATAGTAAACATTTCAAAAAAAAAACTCCGTATCTGAACCACATACACCAAAAGTAATAACTATATCAAATTTCAGGATTTCATGGATTTCTTGGACCCAATACCAAATTTAGTATTATTTAGTACAATTATAATACGCATATCCAACACCAGCTCCTTCTCTCAACCACAGACACCAACAGTGAACTCAATATCAAAATTTCGAGATTGCAGCTCTATCCCTTCACTCAATATCAAATATAGACCACTTAGTATTTTTCGGACAATTATAGTACACATTTCTAAAACCAAGTCTGTATCTTAATCACAGACACCAATAGCGACATCTACATCAAATTTCAAGATTTTTGCTCTATTTCTTCAGCCAATACCAAATTTAGTACCATGTACTACCATTCAAAAAATTATAGACCATATTTCCAAAACCACCTCCATATCATCATTTCAGATTCCAAAAGACACCTCAATATGAAGTTTGCGGATTCCAGCTCTACTTCTTTACCCAATATCAAATATAGTACCACTTAGTACTTTTCGGACAATTATAGTACACATTTCTAAAACCACCTCTATATCTTAATCACTGGAACCAATAGTGGTAACAGGTCTCTCCCCTCACCCCATGCCCAATTTAGTACCATTTAGTACTTTTCGAACAATTACAGTACACATTCCCAAAACCATCTCCATATCTGAACCACAAACATCAACAGTGATAACTACATCAAATATCAGGATTTCAATTCTATACATTCATTCAATACCAAATTTAGTACAATTCGTATAATTTTAATACACATTTCCAAAACCAAACCATTGAGACTTCAGGATCAAATTTGAGGATTCCAGTTCTACTCCTTTACCCAATATCAAATTTAGTACCATTTGGTACTTTTCGAGTACACATTTCCAAAACCACCTCCATATCTGATTCAGGATTTCAGCTCTATTCTTTGACCCAATAGAAAATTTAGTACTATTAAGTCCTTTTCGTACAACTACATATTTCCAGAGCTACATATTTCCAGAGCTACATATTTGAAGAGCTACCTCCATATCTCAATTCTAAGTACCCACAGGGACCTCAATATCAAATTTGAGAATTCCAGCCCTATCCCTTCACTCAATACCAAATATGGTACCATTCAGTACTTTTCGTACAATTACAGTAGCCATTTCCGAAAACACCTTCATATGTCCAGGCTACACATGAACAGCGGCCCTAATATCAAATTTAAGATTTTAAGCACATTGTGTTCACCCAATACCAAATTGTACCAAATATAGTACTATTTAGTACTTTTCGAGCACAGGTATTACAAATTTCCTCTTTTTTACAAATCTATTACCAACAGGGATCCTAATACAAAATTTCAGCATCATCCGTTAACTCTAAACCAAACGATTCCAAATGTAGTACCCTTTAGTACAGTTCGCACACTTAGTACACATTTATAAAACCACCTTCATATACCAAAGTTACTTTCCAACCTTGGTTTTCATACCTAATTTCTAGTTTTCTCTATCCGTTCACATAATACCGAATGGTACCATTTTAGAAGTTTAGTACAATTTTAAAAACTTTTCGTAACTGAAAAGTTCGAATTGCAAAAACCCTTCGGTACATCTCTTCTTCACTCTATCAGTGACTCTCATTCCAAATTTTGGAATTCTAGCTTATTCCGTTTGTGCAAAACAAAGTATTTAGTTTTTAGAACTATTCGTATTCTTTTAGTTCGAATTTTCAAAAACCTGCGCCTACGAACGTAGACTGAACCTCATGCCGAATTTCAAAATTCTAACTTAAGTCGTTTCGTCTCGGCATTGATTCTCAGTCAGTCACTACAAAATATGTATAGATAACCCTCGATTTAAATAATTTCGGGAGCCTTGGCCACATGTTCCAAACAACTTCGTTGAAAATTTTTATTTTTTTTTTTCAATTTTTTTATTTCCCTTTTTCAAAGTAAAATTTTGTAACCATCCTTTTTTTCAATTACAGATACGAAGAAGTCAATACCGTACCATTTATGGACTATTTGGGACCACCGATTCAGGTCAATGCCATTGCCAATATTATTGAAGATTTTCTGGCTTTCCTGATCCTCTTCAATTATATGATTCCGATTTCGATGTATATGAATATTGAAATATATCGAGTATTGAATGCCTTCTTTTTACAACAAGATCAGAAATTATATGACTCCGAGACGGATCAAAGAGCTGTTGTGAATTCATCAAATTTAAATGAAGATTTGGGACAAGTTAATATTTTATTTTCCGACAAAACTGGAACTCTGACCAAGAATGAAATGATATTCCAGCAGTGTTCGATTGCGGGAAAGAAATATGTGTATCGCAATTATTTTTTGGAGGATTTGGAGTCGAAGCAAATGTTGAGTGTCAAGGAGTTTGAGGTGAGGATAAAGACATATGATGATGCGAAAAAAAATTAAAAATAATTATTTCAGGATAAGCAACTGGAGTTCTTTAAAGCCTTGACGTTGTGCCACACAGTACAGGTTGCCCAGACTCAAGGGGATGACACGGCCGATGACCAGTTGCAATATCAGGCATCTAGTCCAGATGAAAAGGCCCTGCTGGAAGCTTGCCGCCAATTGGGTTTTATTTATCTGAGAGATGATAATGATATTTTGAAAGTTAAAATCCTGTCCAATTCTAAAGACGTCAATGCATCAAAAATTGAAAATCATAAACGTCTACATATTTTGGAATTCACTTCGGAGCGTAAACGTATGAGTGTAATTGTGGCCGATAAGGACGGTCGTAAATGGCTATATACCAAGGGTGCAGAAAGTGCAGTCTTTGAATTGTGTTCAGAACAATCCAAGGATATGATAAGGCAAACCGATCCTCACATCACCGAATTTGCCAAAGAAGGTCTGAGAACTCTGGCTGTGGGAAGGAGGCTAATTCCCGAAGATGAATATGAAGAATTTTGTAATGATCTCATGGTAGCCCATAATACTTTGGATCGAAGGCAGGATTTAATGAATGAGTGCTATAAACATATTGAGTGTGGTAAGAGAAAATTCGGTGATAATTTTCAGAAATCAAAAAATTAGAAGAAAAACTTTTCTTTTAGAGTTGGAACTATTGGGCGCCACTGCTGTGGAGGACTCATTGCAGGAAAATGTCAGCGAAACGTTGACAGCTCTACAGAAAGCTGGCATAAAAATATGGGTTTTGACTGGTGATAAAGTGGAGACGGCCGTCAATATAGCCTTGGCCTGTGGTCACATATCTGCAGATTCCAAACAACATTTTATTGTGGACTGTCATTCAAAGGAGAATTTACTGGAATCTTTACAAAAAATGCACAATCAGTGTGAAAATGAGGCGGAAATCTCACAATGGTCTCTTATTATGGACGGCATTAGCTTGACTGTAGCCTCGAAGGAAGCTCCCGAAGAATTCCGCACGGCTGCTCTGAAATGTTCAGCAGTTTTATGCTGCCGCCTAAATCCTTTGCAAAAATCAGAAGTGGTTACCTTGATTAAAAAACAAAAAGGCTTTCTAACGGCCGCCATTGGGGATGGAGCCAATGATGTTTCGATGATTCAAGAGGCCGATGTTGGCATAGGGATTATGGGCAAAGAAGGTTTACAGGCTGCCCGCTGTTCAGATTTTTCTATAGCGAAATTTTTCATGCTCCAACGTTTGCTTTTGGTCCATGGCCACTATAATACGGCAAGGTTGTCGTTTTTGGTCCTCTTTTATTGTTACAAGAATATTTTGATTACGGGCATCATGGTTTTGTTCCAGCTGTATGATTTATATTCGTCGACATCGGTCTATCATTCGCTGTATATGTGGCTTTTCGATGTGATTTATATTTCGTTTAGTTTTACCTTTTTGGCCATCAGCGAGAAACCCTATTCGGAGGAGGTTTTAATGAAGTAAGTACATTCGATTTTTTGATGATTTTATTATTAGACCCGATTTTTATGCTATGTCCGTCCGTGTGTATGTCGTCTGTGGAAATCACTCAAGCTCCCGAACGAATAAAAGTAGGTTACAAAAAAAATTACTTAGATGTGTTTTAGGTCTGCAGGACTCTTGGTATTGAAAATGGGTTATATAGAATTTAAAATGGGTTATATAGGTCCACGTTTTGGTATAGGACCCATATAGCTCCACCGACTGATTTAAAGTTTTTTTTTGGGTGCCTTAATCACCATTTGAACACAAATTTGCTGCAAATTTGGAATACATCCTTGTATAGAATGTTCTATACAGGGTAAGGAAAAAAACTGCAACAAAGGCAAACTCCATAATTTTTACATTTTTTTTTTAATTTTATTGAATGAAAGCAGAAAATGTCGGAAATAGCATCAAATTTTAGAATAAGTTTAGATTTGTTTTGGTCACCTTTGGCACGAATTATGACCTTCAAACGGCCAATGAAACCGTCACACGCAGCCCGAATGTTGCTCTGCGGTATTTTTGCCCATTCCTGGCGAAGCGCTTGCTTGAGGTAATCGACACTTTGGTATTTTTTAATGCCAACTTTGCTTTCCAACTTACTCCAGACACAATGGTCCAACGGATTGGTATCAGGAGATTTTGGTGACCATTGTGCGCTGGAAATGAGGAACCTAATTTTGTAACCATTCTTGGGTGGCGCGTGCTGAGTGCGATTGTGTTGAGTCCTGTTGGAATGTCCAAGGTCTGCGACCAAAATATTTGCGTGCCCAAGGCTTTAAAATACCCTCCAGAATATTGTCGCGATAATATTCGGAATTTATTCCGATGCCACGCTCGATTAATACGAGAGGAGAGCGACCATCACCTGTTATGGCGCCCACACCATAACCTTGGTTGGCGCTTGAGTTCTGGTGGTCAACCGAAGGTGCACATTTTCAGCTGACCTCTTTGGCAAGTAAACACGATCAATTTGTTTGTTTACAAACTGCTGGACAACGAATGTTTTCTCATCGGAGCGGAGAAAACCAAATTCGGCAGTTCACCACTTTCGACCAAACCAAGCAACTCTTTAGCTCTTTTGAGTCTATTTTCTTTCTGTTGCGCTGTAAGTTCTTGCACTTTTTGGAATTTCCATGGCTTTACGCCGAGCTCATTTTTCAATATTTGCCGAATGGAATATTGCGATATGTTCAGCTCACGAGCCATTTTTCGGCCACTGCGACGCGGCTTTCGATCAAGTCTCTTCTGTACTTTTTGAACCATTTCTGCTAATGTTGCTGTTTTCTTCCGCCCACATCCTTGACGTCGGACTACGCTATCAGTATCATGGTAATGAGCGATGGTACGAGACACAAAAACTTTATTCACATTTAAATGCTGGAATGCTTTAACGATAGCTACTTGTGGTTTTCCAGCCAAATATAAAGAAATCAGACTATCACGCTTCAATTCCATCACGAATAACTTTTTTTCTGGAAAATTCTCTCCAAAATGCTTTTGTACTCTTGTAAACAATATAATGAGCTGTCACTGGAATAATTTCCACAGCTGTCGGACGAGTGGCGTAGTAATGATAGGAGTTTGAAAATGGTTTCAGTTTTTTTACATCACCCTGAATATTTATCACATTTATTTAGGTCCGATACGAAATGGACAATATTGGCCCATTCCTTCGGAACCTACTCCATAGACGATCAAAAATTTGCATAATCATAACAGAAGTCAAAATATATTTAAATAATCGAACATTGGCTGAGGGTAAACATTTGTTGGCTAAACCGACTGATCATTTATAACTCGTTAAATGGCAAATTAAAAAAATTGTAAATAATTAACGTTCGTTTCAGAAATCCACATTTATATCAAAACAACTCGCAAAATCGTCAAGTACGCTGGTCCGTATTCCTAAGCTGGATATTAAATGGAGCATTCCATTCGATTGTCGTCTTTTTCTTTGCCTATTTCTTCTTTACGCTCAACAATGTCATACTCAACGATGGACAAACTGCTGAATATTATATTTTCGGTTCGATTCTAATACAAATGGTGGTGGTGGTTGGCAATTTGAAATTAATGCTGGAGTCGCATTACCTCAGCTATGTTTATATTGCCATTATAATTGCCTCATTCTTTGGCTTTGTACTGAGTACGGTTATATATAATTTTATTGATTTGTAAGTATTACTTTGTTATTGAATTGAAATTCGCATGAAGTGGATAATGTATGTTTTGCAATTTTTGTTTTTTTACAGCCCGAATAACCCTGGTCTATATCATGCCTATAATCGTGTCTTTTGTTCCCTTCCCTCGTGGCTTTTTACAATTGTAACGGCTGTGGCATGTCTCATACCCGACTACACTATGAAGGTGGTACGCAGTTTATTTAGCAAAACATCAAAGCTGGAGCAGTGTCATCGCAGAGGAGGTGTTTAGTTGACAATTTTTTCCTTTAGAATGGTGCGATTATTTGTCTGAAAATAAATACGAACAAACGAAGTAATTTATCTATTTTTGTTTAACTTATTTGCTATCTAAGTACCGGCAGAGGTCTGGTAATAAAACATTTGTGAAATGTTTAAAGGTTGTCATTCTCTGATTCATTCATAAATTCCCAGTATTTCCGCAAATTTGAAATAATAAAGGTTTTGGTTAGAGAACACATAAAATTTAGAAGTACGACCATAGACAAATTAAGGTATAGACTAAAAAGTTTTAAAATTTACCCCTTCCGGCAGATGTCACTATTGTTGATCTTGGGCCAGTCAAGTCACTCAGGGCTAGTGAAGTCACTCGACTTCGAAAACAATTTATTCATTTTTCTGCTATTTAAGTTCTATATTTTTATATTTCACGTCATATTTGAATGATGTAAAAATAAACAAAGTCACTGTTTCGTTTTTAATTGATAAATAATAAAGAATCATAAAAATATTCAATATTTTGTATTTTGAGAGAATTGAGTGAATAGACTTTTGCTCTCTCACAGCATGAACGACATCTATTGAAGCACTTTTTTCGAAGATAACAGATGAGACAACTTTTTAGTCTATACTTTAATTTGTCTATGGTACGACATTGTAAATATTGTAATATACGGGTAGCTCTCCTAAATATGCATAGTGGTGTATTTTTTGTATTTTCTGTCGAGTATTAAATCCACAACCCCGATTGGCTATTGCACGATGTAATATTTTTTTTTTCAATTCATAAAAAGAGCCGAATTTGCACTTTTATACTGGGATATGGAATCTGATTTGAACAAAAATTAGGGCTATTGAAATGTTTCTATTGGAATTTTGTCGAGGTCTGATATGTGTATATATAAAATAGTAGACTGAATGAGAATCAACGCCCAGAAGAAACGGCTGCAGCTAGAATCTTGAAATTTTGCACGCAGGTCAGTCTTGGTATGTAGGTATGCGATAAGACTGGAAATTAGAAGGGTTTATTGTTACGAAAAGCTCTAAAATGGTACATAATTTCTAAAATGGTTTAATATACAGGGTGAGATAGAAAAACTGCAACAAAGTCAAACGCCATAATTTTTATATATTTTTAAATTTTATTGCTGAGTCCTGTTGGAATGTCCAAGTTCTGCGGCCAAAATATTTGCTTGCCCAAGGCTCCAAGGCATATTTTCGTGATAATATTCGGAATTATTCTGATGTCACGGTCGATTAATGCGAGCGGAGAGCGACCATCGGCTGTTATGGCGGTCCACATCATCGCCATGGCCGGCGCTTGAGTTCTGGTGGCCAACCGAAAGTGCACATTTTCAGCTTTGTTTTTTTTAGAAACTGCTGGACAACGAATGTTTTCTCATCAGAGAAAACCACATTCGGCAGTTCATCACTTTCGGCCAAGCTATGCAGGTGAGTCTATTTTCTTTCTTTTGCGGTTTAAGTTCTTGCATTTTAAGGAATTTCAATGGCTTTACCCCGAGTTCATTTTTCAATATTTGCCGAATGGAATATTGCGATATGTTCAGCTCACGAGCCTGCGACGCGGGTTTCGACCAAGTCGCTTCTTTACTTTTCTTCCGTCCATTTCCTTGACGTCGGGCTAAGCTACCAGTATCACGGTAACGAACGATGGTACGAGATACAAAAGATTTATTTACATTTTAATGCTGGAGTGCTCTAACTATAGCCACTTGGAGGTGGTTTCGGAAATGTTTACTATAATTGCAAGAAAAGTACTATAATTCTACTATGTGTGGTGTTGGGTGAAGGTATATATAAAACTCAGAAATTTGATATTTACATTACCGATGATATCTGAGTTTGAGATTTGGAGGTGGTTTGGAAATGCCTCCTAAATTTGTACTAAAAATACTAAATGGTACTAAATTAGTTATTAGGTGAAGGGATAGGGCTGAAATCCTCAAACTTGATATTGGGGTCTCTGTTGCTGTCTGAAATTGCGATATGGAGGTGGTTTTGGAAATGTTTTCTATAATTGTACGAAAAGTACTAAATTGTACTAAAATTTGTATTGGGTAAAGAAAAATTCGAAGTTTTGGTATTGAGATACCTTTTGGTGTCGGCTTGAGAATTATAGTTGGTTTTGAAAATGAACATATAACTCTTGAAATCTGAACTTTGATATTAGGGTCCCTGTTCGCTATGTAGATTGGAAATATGGCGGTGGTTTCGAAAATATGTACTATAATTGTACGAAAAGTACTTAATTTTGTATTGGGTGAAGAAATGGGACAGAAACCATGAAATCTGATATTGAGGTCTCTGTTGATGTCTGTGGTTAAGATATGTATGTGGTTACGGAAATTTGTACTATAGTTGTACGAAAAGCATTAATTTGTACAAAATTTGGTGAAGGAATAGAGTATTAGGTGAAGGAACAGAGTTACAATCCAGAAATTTAATATAGTTGTCACTGTTAGTGACTGAAGTTGGGAGAAGGAACTGGTTTTGGGTATGCGTACTGCAATTGTACTAAATGGTACTAAATTTGGTAATAGGAGAAGTTAAGGATCCGAAATCCTAAAATTTTATATTAAGTCACTGTTGTTATTTGAGGTTGCTTTAAAAATTCGAAAAGTACTAAATGACTGTTGGTGTCTACGATGTAGAGATGTACTAAATATTAAATAATTTGAAGACCTAAAATTCTTAAATTTGATATTGAGGTCACTGTTGGTTTTTGGAGACGTTGAAATTTTTTTTTGGGCTGAAAAATTGGATCTAAGTCCATGTGCAATGGTTTTACTAATGCTGGCTAAATTTCAAATTGAAAGATTTTGAAGACTTTTTGGTGTGAAAGGTAAACAATTTCCTATTATTCTTTCCGAAAAAAAGAATATCCCAGACAAAAAACAAGGGAACTGATGAGGATTAGTGGCTCTTTCCGAAACCTAGGTATTCTCTGCCAGGGGGTAAGGTAAACATTACCATCGTTCTCCACTAATAAACAAACGTTGTTTTTATAAAAACAACAACAAAGGGATTAAGCCTGACCATTTTGCAACAACAAAATACTATGGTATCCCGAACAAACAACTGTTCTAAAAAGAAAAACCTTAAAGTTTTGAAATTTTAGTTCGATGTAGGAAGTTTTGGTTAAACAATTTTGTCACACTAAACAAATTGTCCTTTTTGAGTACTAAATAGGTCTGACACGAACTGTTGGAACGAATTTTAAGCAAAATTTTTTGCTAATGAAGTAGGGGCCACTTGCTAGTATTCAATATAAATTTATGGTATTTTCAGTTTGGCACATAGTTATAATGCCTTCCTAGATATTTGTCATCTTAATTATTTTTAAAGTTTCTGAAAATACATTCTACCTTTATTTCCATGTAATGAGGAATTTGCCTCATGCGGCTAATTTTTTGACCCCACAAAAAAATTATTTTATTTAATTATACTGCATCCATTTTGGTTTCGTAAAATGGGCATTCATATAAAATGTGACAGATATATTATTTGATGTATTTATAACACTTCCTCCCAATTAAAGTTACTTTGATATGGAATTAAGTAGCAGTAGTAATGTTTTATAAATACTTCCATAAACTATATACTTATGTACGTCATTACTAATCAAGGTAACAAACGCCTACCCAGCAAAGTTTTATAATTACTTAATATTTGATCCCCAATAATGATTTATCAACAAAATCAATTGATAACATTTTTTTGATAAGAATTTATTTTTGACCTGAATAAACATTTCTTTTCCAACGGCTATAATGTAAACAACCAAACAAAGGAAGAAATGCAAATTATGCTATGGATTATTTAATTAGTATCGTTTGGGATTAAGTAGTTGATTGATGGTTTGCGTATAACTCAAATATATTTTCTAAACCCTGTGAAGGGTTTTTTGTTTTGAATATTTTCATATAAAATATTAAATTTTGTACACTTGTGAAAATGGTAAAAATGCATTCATAATTTAAAATTATATGCTATAAAGTGTATCCTTGGAAAGAAGAAAAAACTTTTTTAAAGTACTCAATTATACAAATATTTGATTAAAATATTTAAAAAAGAAAAAAATATATATATATTTTTTTAATATTTCAATGTAAATTTTTAAATGTTTTAGGGTGCCCGAGTCAGCATTGATGAGGACTCGTTGAAAATATCGATTGGTGGTAGCGACGATATTGACAACAAGCGTCATCGTGATAAACCAAATCGCATCAAAACTACAAAATATAGTTTGCTGACATTTTTACCCCTAAATACGTTGGAACAATTTCGACGAATTGCAAATGTTTACTTTCTGATAATGACCATTGCTTCATTTTTAATTGGTAAGTAGCAAGTTTTCCTTCTCCAACTTATTTTTTTTTTAATTTTCGAATTACGATCGACGATTTCGGAATGGACGAATGGGGTCCTTTTTGGTTTAATATAGGTCTACGTTTTAGTACAGCCCTTTTGTCCTCATATAAAAGTAATTTTAGTAATTTCGAGGGTCGTGATCCCATTGTTGGCTTCAACTTAGTTCTTCATGTTTCGGTTTAATATAGGTCTACGTTTTGCTACAGCCCTTTTGTCTTTATATAAAAGTAATTTTAGTAATTTTGAGGGTCGTGGTCCCATTGTTGGCTTCAACTTAGTTCTTCATGTTTCGGAACAGCGCCTGATTTTAGGATTATTTCGATTGATGGTTTTCGAAGGTGTTGTCCACATTTTACAATCGATTTGAAAAAAAAATTGTGTTTCGTTTTGTATTTTTTTGTAGGAAGTAGGAGACTTCCTACAGATACTATCTGTACAGGGTGAAATAAAAAAACCGCAACAAAGTCAAGCGCCATAATTTATACACTTTTTTTAATTGTATTAAATGAAAGCAAAAAATCTCGGAAATAGCATCAAATGCTAGAATAAGTTTAGATTTGTTCGAATTGGTCACCTTTGGCACGAATTGTGACCTTCAAACGGCCAATGAAACCGTTACACGCTGCCCGAATGTTGCTCTGCGGTATTTTGACCCATAATAGTTCAACGGATTGGTATCCGGAGATTTTGGTGGCCATTGTGCGCTGGAAATGAAGCGATTAACCTCATTTTGCAACCATTCTTGGATGGCGCGTGCTGAGTGCGATGGTGCTGAGTCCTGTTGGAATATTCAAAGTCTGCGGCCAAAATGTTTGCTTTAATACACCCTCCAGAATATTTTCGCGATAATAATCGGCATTTATTCTGATGCCACGGTCGATTAATACGAGTATAGAGCGAACATCGGCTGTTATGGCGACCCACACCATCACCATGGCCGGCGCTTGAGTTCTGGTGACCAACCGAAGGGGTACATTTTCAGCTGACTTCTTTGGTAAGTAAACGCAATCCTTTTTATACCCTACACCACAAGGTGGTCAGGGTATTATGTCTTTGTGCATTTGTTTGTAACAGGCAAAAGGAAACGAGATAGACCCATAGTTCCTTTTGATGATCTGCATAGAATCACTTTCTGAGTTGATTTATGCATGTCAGTCCATCTGTCCGTCCGTCCGTCCGTCTGTCCATGTATTCTTGTGAACAAAATGCAGGTCGCATTTATTATCCGATTGAGATGAAACTTTGCAAACAACATTTGTTTGGCCCAAGGACGAACCCTATTGAAATTGGAGATAATCGGTAAAAATTTAGATATAGCTCCCATATATATCTTCGTCCGATTTGCCTTTTATTGTGCACCAAACGTGTAATATCAGCCCGAATAGTATGAAATTTTGCACATACAACCAAATTAGGCCTGAAAATAAGTATGCAAAATTTGATCGAAATCGGTTCAGATATAGCTATAGCTCCCATATATATTGTTCATCCGATTTGTTATTTTTGTCCTCCGCAGCCGTAATATGCACTCTGTAACAACAATATTTGGGAAAATATATCAAATGCAGCTCAGAAGTACCTTTGCTAAATTTTATCGAGATCGGTTCAGATTTGGATATAGCTCCCATATATAACTTCGTACGATTTACCTTTTATTGTGCACCAAACGTCTAATATTTGCCCAGATAGGATGGAATTTGGCACATACGACTGAATTTAGTCTAGAAGGTAGTATGCCAAATTTGGTGAAGATCGGTTCAGATATAGCTATAGCTCCCATATATATTGTTCATCCGATTTGTCGTATTTGTTACCTACAGCCGTAATATGTACTCCGTAACAACGATATTCAGGGAAATATATCAAATACAGCTCAAAAATATCTTTGCCAAATTTTATCCAGATCGGTTCAGATTTGGATATAGTTCCCATATATATCTTTATCTGATTTCAAATAAATTTTGCACCAAATGGGCAATACAAGTCCGAATTTAAAAGATACAAATGCTTTGGCATATTTAGTCCTTTCAATTTTAAATTATAATTATAATCATAGCGTGTATGATTGAATTCTCCCATAAAAACTTTAATTATTAAGTGGTACTCAACTAAATTAGCAAAGTGGTGTAGGGTATCATAAAATCGGCCCCGCCCGACTTTAGGACTTTCTTTACTGGTTTTTTGTTTACAAACTGCATGACAACGAATGTTTTCTCATTGCAGGACACCAAATTCGGCAGTTTCGGCCAAGCGAAGCAACTCTTTAGCTCTTTTGAGTCTATTTTCTTTCTGTTGCGGTGTAAGTTCTTGCACTTTTTGTAATTTCAATGGATTTACCCCGAGCTCAATTTTTCAATATTTGCCGAATGGAATATTGCAATATGTTCAACTCACGAGCCATTTTTCGGCCACTGCGATATGGGATTCGATCAAGTCGCTACTTTTTGAACCATTTCTGCTGATGTTGCTGTTTTCTTCTGTCCACTTCCTTGACGTCGGGCTACGCTACCATTATCACGGTAACGAGCGTTGGTACGAGACACAACAAATTTATACACATTTAAGTGCTGGAGTGCTTTATCGATAGCCACTTGTGGTTTGTACGCTTGTAAACAATATATTGAGCTGTTACTGGAATAATTTTAACAGCTGTCGGAAGAATGGCTTAGAAATGACAGCAGTCTGAAGTTAGTTGCAGTTTTTTCATCTCACCCTGTATATGTTTTGATAGAATTGTATTTGTATTTAGGGGGTAACTTTATTCTACCTTCTGTAATTGTGCCATGGCAACATCTAAACCTATTTCGATCAAATTTGGTTATTTTCAGGTCTATTTTTGTCGTATGTGGAATATGCCATAATATTTGGGCATATATAATATCTTTGGTGCAGAATAAAATGCAAATCGGACGAAGATATATATCTAAATTTTGACAGTTTATCTCCAATTTCAATAGGGTTCGTGGACTATTTCATCTGGATCGGGCAATAAATGCGACATGTACTTTGTTTACAAAAATATATGGACAGACTGACATGCTTAAATCGATTCAGAATCAGATTCTATGCAGATCATCAAAAGGAACTGTGGGTCTATCTCGTTTCCTTTTGTCTGTTACAAACAATTGCACAAATATATAATACCTTTACCAGCTTGTGGTAAATATCAAATTTAATACTTTAAAGATAGACACATTTTCTTGGCAGAAAGTACTAAAATCCGTACAAAAAGTTGATCGATGTAATTCATCCTCGAACTTAATCTTAGTGCGGATTTATTCCATATCCGATTTGGCAGTAAGCCTTCAAAAAAATTTTGTTCAATAAAAATTTTGGGAAGTTACGATTTTGTGGAAAAAATCAGAAAAAATATTCGTTTTTTTATAATTTTAGATAGTCCGGTATCACCTATGACAGCTTTGGTGCCATTGCTTTTCGTAATCATTGTGACAGCTGTAAAACAGGCATATGAAGATTTTCTTCGGCATAAATCCGACAATAGGGTGAATCGTACTAAAGGTAAGATATGCCATCTCACACTAAAGTCAAAAGCTCTGTTCTATGCTTGTATTTCCATACAGTGACAATAATTCTCAAAGGCTTTAAGAAACAAATTCAATCCCAATATGTGGCACCAGGAGATTTGCTCTACATCGAACGTGACTGTGATGTAGCCTGTGATTTGGTGCTATTGTCATCTTCATATTGTCGTGGAAAATGTTTTGTAACAACAGCTAATTTAGATGGGGAGTCGAATTTGAAAACTTTACTTGTTCCCAAAGACCTGCCGGTTATGGATTTTGAAAATTTAAAATATGTTGGTATAATAGAGTGCGAACGACCGCAAACAGATCTATACACTTTCAATGGTAAAATTCAAATGCAAAATGTCACATTATCCTTAAAATCGGAAAATATTTTATTACGAGGCTCCAGACTGAAAAATACAGAATGGGTAATTGGCTGTGCCGTCTATACGGGAATGTCCACCAAACTGCAATTGAATTCCAGGATGACACGTAATAAATTTGCTTCCAGCGAAATTTATCTAAATCGTTTCCTGATCTTTATTGTAATTTTGATGATTGCAATTGTAACGGTCCTATATGTTTTGAAAAGTGAAACTGAATTGTCGTTAATTCCGAACGCGACATATTTGGGTTTCCCAATCGATGTGTATAATTTGAAGCAATTCTTTCAAGATTATTTGTCATTTTTGGTATTGTTCAAGTATTTAATTCCCATCTCAATGTATGTTACCATTGAGTTGTATCGCGTTATGGCTGGCCAATTTATACGTTGGGATGTGCAACTTTATGATGAGGAAATTAATGAACCCTGTATGGTGAATACCACGAATTTGAACGAAGAATTGGGTCAAATAAATATTTTGTTTTCGGATAAAACGGGAACATTGACGAAAAATGAAATGATCCTGCAGCAGTGTTCAATTGGTGGAAGAAAATATGTGTATAGAGGAAACTATTTGGAGGATGAGGAGACCCAAGATGTGATGGATTTAGATAAATTTCAGGTTGTAGAATAAGTTTAACCAGGAGAATTAACATAATAAAGAAATTAAAATATTGCAGGATCACCATAAGGACTTTTTTCAGGCTCTTTGCATCTGTCATACTGTTCAGGTAGTTGGCCATTTAAATGATGATAAACAGATGGAAGCTACTAAAGTACTAAGTGATAGCTTTGAAGCTCCAGAGGATAAAATAAAATCATCAGGATCTAATTCAAGTAAGTCAATAGTTAAGTAAAATAGATTATATAATAGAATATTAATCCTTTAAGTAGACAGAAACAAATTCTGCCAAAAAAAAGTTTAGCAAGAAATGTTGTAATTTTGTGAATGTAGAGAGTTTCGCCGGGTTCAAGAAAAAATCACGAATTTGGAGATCAAAAACCTGGAGCTTTTTATTAGACGGTTTTCAAAGAAAAGCATGGGCCAAATTCTCAGTGATGAATTTCTGGGTGTAAATTTTAGCTTGTTTAAAGGAAGACGAAACGGGCTCTAGAAGCGAGCAAGATACTTCTAAAAGAGAACAATCTTACGTTTACATTGATAATACAAAGCCTGAAAAGTTTGAAGAATCTTGGGGAAACATTTCGCATTTTAGAAAGCTACGAATCCATTTTATTGGAACGAGCTTAAAGTGTCATCCAATATGCTGAGCATAGCACAAAGCCGATTAAAATATTACCATGTCGGAAGTTTTAACCTAATTGCTGCCCGACAAGATTGGAAGTTTCTTTCAAATTGCTCAATAAAAATATCATTCCAGCTGTTATTGATATCATATTAGAAATGTTGTTTCATTCATATTCGATTTTTTACTCGCCTTGAGGTGGACATTCTATTTCACCTTCGCATTTCACCTTTTTGTACTCGAAATACACCATTTCTTTTGTTTTTGATTTTTTTAAATAAATCAAGAATTTGTTTTCCTTTTACACCGAAAATTCTTCAAAATCTTTCATTTCGAAGTTTACTGAGGACGATATTAGCAAAGCCATTGCACAATGGACGCACATCCAATTTGCTGTCCACAACTATTTCAACGTATCGATATGTAAACCCTAGAAACCAAGAGTGACCTTAATATCGAATTTCAGGATTCAAGCTCTATCCATTCACTCAACGGCACATTTTGTACCATCGATACCAAATTAAGTACCATCGATATCGCCCAACGGCGCATTTTGTAGAATAGAACGCATTTCCAAAATCACCTTAAAATCTTAAACACAGACACCTACAGTGACATCCATATCAAATTGCAGGATTCCAGCTTTAACTCTTCACCCCATACCAAATGTAATCCTCTTCGTATTATACTACACATTTCCAAAACCACCTCCATATCTCAATCCCAGATACCATCAGAGACCTCAATATCAAATTTAAAAATTCCTGCTATATTCTTTCACGCAATACCAAATGTAGTGCTATTTAGTGCTTTAGAACACAAATAAGAGAAGAGACCTCAAAATCAAATTTCGGGATTTCAGGTACCATTTAGTACTTTTGGAACAAGTATGGGATGCCTTTCCAAACCACTGCCAAATCTTAAACACAGATACCATCAGTAATTTTAATATCAAATGTCAGAACTTTATCCCTATCTCTTCCAAATACAAACATAGTATCATTCAGTACTTTTCGAACAATTATAGTAATCTTATCCAACAGTGACATCCATATAAAATTTCTAAACCTTATCCCAATACCCAAGTTTTACCCTTCACCCAATCCAAAATTAGTACCATTGAGTACTATTCTCAGAAATATATGCCGCATTTCTAAACCACTGCCAAATGTATCAACATTCCGATTTTTTTCTCTATCCCTTTACTAATAACAAGTATAGTACCATTTGGTATTTTTCCATATACCAAACTTACACTCCTCCAGTAATGTTAATTTAAAATTTCTGGATTCTTCAAAATTTAAATTGTATCAAATTTAGTACAGTTTAGTACTTTTCGCACACATGAGTACACACTTCTAAAAAAATCTACTCCTCAACCTCGATATCCATTCCAAATTAGTTTTTAGCTCTAACTCTATCATCAGTGATCCTCATTCCGAAGTTAAGAGCTCTAGCTACACACATACTCCCAAGGTACCTCATTACATCGACTCTACTCCTCAAACTTGATATCTATTTTTATCTCTAGCCGTTCAAATGATACGAAATGGTATATCCATCATACACTCCGTCAGTGACCCTAATTCTAAATTTAAGAGTACTAGCTCCACGGATTCGTCAAATACAAAGGGTATCATATTTAGTACCATTCTGGTACGAATTTCCAAGAACCGAGCGTCTGATACCTTTGGACCAACTCATATTAAATATGGTAGCTTAGTGTAAGCATATATAATATGTCTTTGTACATTTGCCTGTAACATGGAGAAGGAAGCGAGTAAGACCCATAGTTCCTTTTGATGACCTGCGTAAAATCACATTTTGAGTCGATTTATGTATGTCCGTCCGTCCATGTATTTTTGTAAACAAAGTAAAGGTTGTATTTATTGCCCGATCAAGATGAAACTTAGCACAAAGACGATCCCTATTGAAATTGGAGAAAATCGGTCAAAATTTAGATATAGCACCCATGATCGCCTGATTTGCCTTTTATTGTGCACCAAATGTGTAACGTTAGCCCAAAAAGGAAGAGAGGAAGAGAGGAAAAACAAAATTGAGCATAGACACACGTGTGTTTCCAATTTGGTGGAAGTCGGTTCCCGTATATATTCTTTATCCGATTTGTTAAATTTCTCCTCCACAGCCGTAATATGCCTTTCGTAATAACTATAATCGGAGAAATATATCAAATACCGCTCAGAAATACATCTACCAAGATCGGTTCAGATTTGGATATAGATCCCATTCATATTTTTATACTCGATTTCAAGTTTATTGTGCACCAAATGGTTAATATAAGCCCGAATTAATTCGGTTTTGACACAATGAACGAATTTAAGCTGGAAGAAGGTGATCAAATTTGGTGAAAATCCAATATATGTTTCATCCGATTTCGTATTTTACTCCCTCACACCCGTAAAACACTCTCCACAACAACGATATTTGGTGCCAACTATCAGATGTAGCATAGAAATACCTCTGCTAAATTTAATAGAGATCGGTTCAGATTTGGATATAACTCCGATACGTTTATTGTGCCTAAAAAGTGAATATCAGTTCAAATAGTGAATGTCAGTCCCTTTAGGCTTAAAATTATATCTGATTTAAAGATCGTATTTTATTCCCCATCGTATTTTATTCCCCATAAAAAACATTTATTTGCTATATGTAGCTCTACTATAGCCTTTCAAATATGCTGTGTGATACCCTACACATCGGACCAGCCGACTTTGGACTTTCTTTATTGCTTTAAATTAAATATTAGAAAACATCTCACATATATATTTATGAATCCATTACATATTCACAAATCAGAAATGAGAACCTGTTTTTAATGCACTTACATTTTATAAGGTAAATTATAATTCTACCACGTCTCATGAAAATTGCGTATTCTGAAAGAAAGTTTTTATTTTTCAGTAAACCCTCAAAGAACCACTATCGAGCAGGAATCCGGTAAAAGAGTGAATAAAGTGAACTGCAAAGATAAACTGAGGGGTTATATGGCGGAAGAAATTATAAAGTAAGTTTCATTCTTCTGAACTTAATTCTTTTCAACAAAAACTTATTATTTTTTCTTCAGAAATTTAGATTATCAAGCATCCAGTGCTGATGAAAGAGCCCTGGTGGAGGCTTGTGCCCATTTGGGATTTATTTATGTAGGAGATGATAATGAAACGTTAAAAATACGTTTTTCCACCTCATCAAATGATATACACTTTCAACGTTTACATGTTTTGGACTTCACGTCGGAACGAAAACGAATGAGCGTTGTTGTGAAAGACGAAAATAATGTCAAATGGATTTATACAAAGGGTGCTGAGAGTTGTGTCTTACCTTTGTGCAATCACCAGTCGTTGGAAATAATTTCGAAAACCAATTCACATATAATGGATTTTGCATGTCACGGATTGCGGACATTGGCAATAGCAAGACGTGAAATCAGTGATGAAGAATATCAGAAATTTATCATGGAGTTACAAATAGTGAATTTGTCATTAGATAACCGGAGGGAGTTGAGTGAGAAATGCTATGCAATTCTTGAGAAAGGTAAGTGTTAGAGGGGGTTGGGTAGACAACTTACCTGGGTACTTAATTCAAAGATGATGTGATTTTCTGAAAATAAGACAAAAAAGTCAAATATTATGATAAAATTAAAAACGAAATTACAATATATAACTTACTAGCTGAACCCGGTGCGCTTCGCTACCCCTTTTGATTTTATATGCATTCAAAATTTTATTTACGAATATATTTTGGATAAAGAAAAACGAAAATTGGTGCGTCAAATATGTGAAATCGGCCGAGAATATATATATGGGAGCTATATCCAAATCTTAACTAATTTCCAATTAATTTATCACATTTATTATTATAACCAAATTCCGCCACACATTCTGAATTTCATTGGAATCGGTCATATATATCGTGTTTGGTGCATAATATGTATGAAATCGGCCGAAATATATATGTTAGCTATATCCAAACCTCAACTGATTTCAATATAATGTGGCAATTTTTGCTGGTGCCAGATTTTGTCTCTCTCGCTTTGGGTGCATCAAATATGTGAAATCGGCTGAGTATATATGGGAGCTATAATCACATATGAGCGTATTTGAATATAATTTGTCAAATTTATTTTTGTACCAAATTTAGCCACTCATGCCGAATTTCGTTGGAATCGGAAATACGTATCGTGTTTTGTGCATCATATATGTGAAATCGGCGGAAAATATATATGGGAGATATATCCAAATCTGAACCGATTTTTATATAATTTGACAAAATTATATTTGTTTTAATTTCCGCTACACATTCCAAATTTCATTGAAATTAGAGATACATAGCGTGTTTGGTGCATCAAATACATGAAATCGGTCGAAAATATATATGGGAGCTATATCCAAATCTGAACCGATTTCAATATAATTTGGGAAATCTATTTTTTAGATAAAATCTATCACACGTTTCAAATTTCATTGAAATTGGGGATACATAGCGTGTTTGTGGCATCAAATGCTTGAAATCGGCCGAAAATATATATGGGAGCTCTATCCAAATCTGAACCGATTTCAATATAATTTGACAAATTTATTTCGGATTAAATCCCGTCACACATTCCAAATTTCATTGGAATCGAACATTCATATTGTGTTTGAGGCATCAAATGAACGAAATCGGTCGAAAATATATATGGGAGCTATATCCCAATCTGAACCGATTACAATATAATTTGGCAAACTTATTTTTGTTCCAAATTCCGTTACGTATTCCAAATTTGGAGACTGTATCTTCAACCAATCAATAGATATGTGCGTATAAAATCTAAATTTTTGGGAGGTACCTCCGATTCTGATGCTATATCTCCAGTTCCAAGTGGAAATTCAAAATTGTATATAGCCTATGTTACTTTCAGGCGATGTTGCAGTATATATGGAAATTTTCAGGAAAATCTATTCAGCGGTTTTCGAGTCCATAAATTACAAACAAACAAACAAACAAACAAACAAACATACAAACATTTTCCTCTTTTATAGATATAGAAGAAGATATATATATATATATATATATATATATATATATATATATATATATATATATATATATATATATATATATATATATATATATATATATATATATATATATATATATATATATATTTATGTCATTGATGGAGTGCAGGTTACGAAAAGTTTTAAAAGGGGTTAGTATCTAAAATAGTACCATTAAGTATTATCGTATTATATTATATATATATATATATATATATATATTTATTATATTATATATATATATATATATATATTTATGTCATTGATGGAGTGCAGGTTACGAAAAGTTTTAAAAGGGGTTAGTATCTAAAATAGTACCATTAAGTATTATCGTATGTGAATATATAAATCTAAAAATTTGGTATACTAAATTTGAAACAGTTTTGCTAAGGGTGAACGGATGAAGCTGGAATTTTGAAGTTTTGCATTGGTGTCCCTGTTGGTGGTAGGTTAGTGATATGTTTAACTTCATGTATAGCCTGGACACATGTAGGTAGTTTTGAGTATGTGTACTATAATTGTATGAAAATTACTAAATGGTACCTTATTTAGTAAAATTTGGTATTGGGTGAACAGATAGTGCTTAAAATCTGAAATGTGGTATTATATGGAGGTGGTTTCAGAAATATTCACTATAATTGTACGAAAAGTAGTTTATGGTACTATTGGGTAATTTTAATCCCGAAATTTGATATTGAGGTCTCTGTTAGTATCTGCGATTGAGATATGGAGGTTATTATGTAATTGTGTACTATAATTATACGAAAAGCACTAAATAGTACTATATTTGGTACAATTTGTTATTGCAATGATAGCGTTTGAAATCTCAACTTGGATATTAGTGTCACTGTTCATGTGTAGCCTGGACATATGGAGGTGTTTTTGGAACTGAGTACTATATTTGTACGAAACGTACCGATTGTACTAAATTTGCTATTAGTTGAGGGGATAGAGGTAAAATTCTGAAATTTGGTATTTAGTTTACTGATTGTATCTGTGTTTGAGATTTGGTAGGGGTTCGAAAATGCGTCCTATAATTGTACGAAAAGTACTTAATGGTACTATAGTTGGTATTGAGTGAATGGATAAAGATAAAATTGTGGAATTTGATTTTTATATTACTGTTGGTGTCTGTGGTTCATATTTGGTTCGTATTTGTACGAAAGGTACTAAATGGTATTAAATTTGTCATTGGGTGAAGGGATATGGCTGGAATCCTCAAATTTGATTTTGTGTTAACTGCGGATATTTGAAATTGAGGTTGCTTTGAAAATATGTACTATAATTGTACGAAAAGCGCAAAACGTTACTAAATTTGGCATTTGTTGAAGGAATAGAGCATGATATTTGGCATAGATGTCACTGTTGGTGTTCGTGATTAAGATATGGAGATGGTTTCGGAAATGTGTACTACAATTGTACGAAAAGTACTAAATAATACTATATTAGGTATTGGGTGAAGGGGTAGTTTTAAGAATCTAAAATTTGATATTAAGATCACTGATGGTGTCTGTGTTTGAAATTTGGCGGTGGTTTGGAAAGGCGTCCTATATTTATTTGTATTTGTTACATAAAGTATCAAATGGTACTAAATTTGGTATTGGGGAATTTTCAAATTTGATATTAAGGTCTCTTATGGTTTCTGGAATTGAGATACATAGGTGGTTTTGGAAATGTGTACTATAATTACACGAGGAGTAATAATGGTAAAAAATTTGGTATTGGGTAAAGGGCTAGGGCAGGAATCCTCAAATTTGGTATAGAGGTCTCTGTTAGTTACTGGTGGTGGTTTTTACAAATGCGTACTATAGTTATTGGAAATTTTCTAAACGATACTAAGCTTGGATCATCGTTGGTTTCTAGGATGGAGAAATGTAGATTGTTTTCGATATGCGTACCAGATGTTACTAAATTTGATATTGGGTGAAGTAATAGAGCTAAATTCTAATATTGATATTGAGGTAACTGGTAAATTGAATGTGGGTCCGTTGTGCAATGCTTTTTCTAATATCCTCCTCTGTAAACTACAAAATAATAGATTTTGAAGTGTTTTTGTTGTAAAAGGTAAACGTTTTGCTATTATTCTTTCGGAAAATGTAAAAATTTAAATAATATAAAATATTGGAAGTCTGATTATTTAGAAGGAAGTATGAAATTTTATTCAAAAATGTTGTCAACTGAACAAATTGTGAATTTTGATTGCTAAGAAGGCTTAACACGAATTGTTTGAAACGAATCTAAAATGTTAAGTTGGCCCTCGTTTTCGAACCTATTAACCAGTAGTGACAACTCTGTCAAATTTTAAAATAGTTGCTCTATTCAATCACATCCAACTCCGACACATCCAATTTTTAAATCGTAAAGAGTACGCAAAAGGTTTTTGCTTACTTTTAGTACATTTTTGACATTTTGGTCTTTTACACAAAAATTAAGTTCTATATCGAACAGTTCCGCATTTTATTTTCAACAATAGATTTTTTAGATTTTTGGATATGTATGTATTTCTAGTAGCCTTATAGTACAAATGTCCACTGACCCAGCCATTCTCAACCACTTTACACCAAAAGTGACACACCTGGCAAATTTAAGAATTGTTGTTATACTTCTTTCCGTTGAAGAAATTATAAGTGTACCTCCTTATTTTCCATTCCAATAGTGAAATATACTTTTTTCAAAAAAATGAAAGATTTGAGAGTTATTTTCATATTTTACAGAAATTCCCAACTGTATCGGAAGAATACGAAAAACAAACAGCTACAGTGGCCCACATTCTTGGAATGGATATTCTTCGGTGTATACCATGCGATAATATGTTTCTACTTTGCCTCGGAGATATTCTCCAACAATGATGTCATTCTAAATGTTGGCCAGACTGCAGATTTTGCCTTGTTTTGTGCCCTCCTGCTGCACATTGTTGTTATTGTGGTCAATTTTAAATTATGGATTGAATCGCAATATATTACCTTTCGGTATGTTGGTACTATTTTCATTTCGATATTGGGCTACATTCTTACAATGTTTTTGTTTAATTATTGGAATCAGTAAGTAATAAGATATTTGGAATATATTATTATATGAAAAATAATATTAAATTATTTTTTACAGTCATTACGATACTAACATTTATGGTGCTTATAACAAACTTTTGTCCTCAATATCGATATGGTTGTAATGTGTCCTTGCAACAGTGGCCTGTCTGGTGCCTGATTATTTTCTACGAGTTCTGAGACAAACTTTTCTCTCGCGAAACGAAAAACGTTTGCCAAAGTTAATCTAAGGAACGTGGGAGAGCAAAATAATTTGTTCATATTTTTGATATTTTGAGGGATTAGATAAGTTATATTTAAGTTTCAAGTATTTTCAAGTATTTATTTGCAATACAAAATATTAAAATGCTAATATTTTGAAAATATACTTTTAATGTTTTAATCAGTGTGATAGTAAAATTTGATTTTCATCATTCCGATTTATTCGTGGGTTTTATACTTTTGTGCC